TTTGGACCTCTGATGTTGCGATCCGGATATTGAATCCCCATCATAGTCGCTTGAAGTACCTTATAGTCGCCCCTATAGCCCATTCGCCCATTCCCTACTAACAACCAAGCAAACAAGCCCCAGACCTGCAGCGAAGTTCTCCGCAGCCAACGCCGAAAGCCTCTACAGAAGACGTGCGGCTGCATCCAAGCCCCATCCAGTCCTGCAGGTGCCCTAACCTTAAAACCCTTAACTCCAGGAACCTCACCCCTAAACCCTAGAGCCCAAACCCTAAGCCTCCAAACCCCTGAACCCTAAACCCTAGACCCTAAACCCCTAAACCCTAAACCGCTAAACCATTAAACCAACTGAAGCCGAAACCCAGAACGAAAGCCCAAGCGGCTTCAGCCCCCGAAGGCACTGAGCTACGGTTCCTCCAGGGTTTTACCTGCGGTTTGGAGTTTAATTAGGGTTTAGGGTTGACGGTTTAGGGCTTTTGGGTTTGGGGGTTCTTGGAGGTTCTTGGGGCTTCTTGGTGGTTCTTGGGGTTTCTTGGGGGTTCTTTTTTGGTACGGTTTACATTTTAGCATTTCAGCGTGAGGCATGTGTGGCGCGCCCCTGACGCCCCCAGAGACTGCCATATCCCATAATTAAGGAATATACCGAAAATCATACTGCAAGATCCCATAGCTACGGAATTTACCTTTAATTCTTTAACCATCTTGGGGATACCTTAAACCATATTAGGGATCCTATGCCATAATTTATGGTATATTCCTTAAGTAAGGGGATCTTGGCGGCTCTTGGGGCTCCCTGCGGTCTAAACCTCCTGAGTCGCACATCCCAAAGGCCCTGCCAAGGGAGTTTCCGAAAATTAGGGGTACGTTTAAAGGGATCCTTATATAGGGTTCCTTAAAGGGAGCTATAAGGGATCTATAAAGGGTTTAGGGTTTAGAGTTGCCGAAAATTAGGGGCGCCTTATTTGGGGGTCCTTATTATAAGAATCCTACTGTCTGGGGTGCTATATTAGGGTCCCCTATTTTCGGAAACTCCCAAATACCGGTACAACACTCGACGAAGCCGTGATGCAAAATCATCCAAAACCCTGAACCCTAACCCCTAACAAGAACCTTACAAGCCCCCTCGAAGTCCCTGTGATCTTTCCATGTGCGGCCCAACGAAAGTCCCGAAACCCTACACCATAGCACCCAAACCCAAAAAACCCTGAACCCTATCCTCCTACAAATTCCAAACTCCCTGGCTAAAAACGCTGAACCCCTCAAACACCTCGACGATAAAACTTTAGCCCCTAAAACCCAAGAAACTTACAACCCCGATGTTAAAACCCCCTGGCCCTGACTCTACGCAGATAGCCTACCGATCCAGGATGAAAGAAGTTGAGACTACGGAACCCGAAAAAAGGCAAAAAAACCTACCTTTTCAGGGTTCCTTATTCTTGTTGTCTCAATACCTTTTAAAAGTCCAAGTACGCCCTGAACCCAAGGTCCCTCATCTGGCGACCGCGGGTTGTCGGACAACTCAAAGACCTCGGATTTTGGCGGTTGACGGTTTGTTTGGGCCGAGTTAAAAAGGGGTCCTTGAGGGCTTCATTCAGGTTTACGGCTTGGGGTTTTCGGTGTTTGTGATGTTGAAAGAAATTTTGTGAAAGTTGAGGGTTTTTGGGGCTCTTGATGCTCGGCGTGAATATGTCTTGTTCCATGCCACCAGCAGTCTAAATATCAGCTATGAGCTGCATTTGCGCATGCGTGAGTCCTAGGGCCATCGTCCACACAGGCTTTCAAGACTTGTTAACGTGGCACAGAACCGCTGGACCCGATTCCAACTTTGAACAAACATTCAGATCGAAGTTATAACTCTCGGTGTCTGTGCATATAACATGTGTGTATACGCGCACGCCATCTATCAGTATACCTACATACATACGGACATACATGCCTACATGCACGCCTACATGCATACATGCATACATACACACATGTACATATAAATATAAACACATGTGTATATACATATATATATATATATATAGAGAGAGAGAGAGAGAGAGATGCTTGCTTATTTCGTTGTTTATCTGAGTACAGGCTAGAGTGTTGTAAAAAACCAGCAGCCTTCACGCCAACGGCAGTGACGACGATGACTCTGTCGGCGGCCTGGCCACCTTCCGGTACCTTCGCAAGCGATTGCGGGAATGGACCATCGAGACGGCCCGCTTCTTAAGAGGGGCGAGCCCACAACTGATAGAACTGCTGACGTTTAGGGGTTATGAGGGTTCACTGTATAGGATTTATGAGGCTTCCACTGACTGCACGTGCTTCTGGCATCCCAGACCTAAGGCGACGCAATGTCCGCTTCGCCGAACGTTTTGTCAAACTAGACGTCTGTTGTCTGCACAGCACGGTCGAATGGATCTAGCCAGATGTGCAGCGCAGAGAGAACGAGAAAAACTTACGAGCATGGTGTAGTAATGGGCACAACTGGTTATACGATGAAAGCTCAGAGAGCAAGCCCTGGTGCCAGATTTAAGACAGCAGATGACAGCAGCCACTTTCCTTGTCGTCACTGTCGTATGTAGGCGTATGTATGTGACTGTATGCACATATAGTTGGATACAACACAGTCGTACATGCACAAATGCAACAGTTCGCATATTACGGCGCATATACCTTACTGTGTGAGCACACAAAGATGCTATATCTGCACATATACGGTACACACACACACACCGTCACGCACTGTACCTATGCATGTATCCGAAAACCGTCACCGTCTTTCAAAACTCGGTTGTTGCCAAAGTTTTCGTTCAGCGCACCGGCCTGGACTGTAACGCCAGGCATCGCCAGTCGTTAGCAAGGCTTACACGCCAGACATGGTATTGACATGGTCAAAGGAAATTAGCTTTTGGAGCATACAATATATGATATATACAGTAGACCACATGATATATAATACAAACTATCTGCAACATACAGCACACAATATAGGACGTACAACAGACAATATATTATATGTAATACAAAATATCTGATATCTGAAACCGTAGCGTTCATCCTTGACTGGACCGGGTCTGTGCGTTTTGAACCCGATCTGCCACACACCTCTCCTCAGGGAAACCACCGCACAGAGCCGCAAGGAGGCTCCATGCCCAAAGCCAGCCCCCGTACGCCACAAAGCAAACCCGGACAACTGAAAATAGCACATTACATCAAAACGATGGAAGGCACCAAAATGTCGAAGCTTTGTCTGCGAAGCCCCCGTTTCCGCCTCCTCCAAGACATTTTCCTGGAAGAACGTCATGGCGACCTCAAGGTCTCTTGGGAGTCTAACGACCTCGAAACATTTCAAACCTTAAACCCGAAACAAACCCTAAGCCCAAAAGATTTTGGTTGCTTTAGGGCTACCACAAGGGTACTGGAAGGGTACCCTGAGGTTCATTACTACTGAGGGTACTGGAAAATTGCCATGCGGCACCAGAAGGTCTCGAACCGCATTAATTATGGGTGCGAGAGACGAAAATTTCTGTACAAGCCGTACCACCCTAAATCGCACCAGAAGAGCCCGAACCCCAATCCCGAAACCCTAAATGTGTTTACCGGCTCGGGGAGGCGGAGAAGAGTTAAAGGTTCAGGGATTAGGAGTGGAGATGAAGGTTTACGGAGAATCTACTACAAGGCTTCCATACTGGTTCTTTAAGGTTCCGAAAAATTGCTACAAGGCCCAAATCTAGAACTCATGCAACGTGACAGCTTTGGAGTATGTAGAAAATCTTCACAGAAGCTCACCATAACATCATAACATCAACTATTCTGCTATGGTATGGTTGCAAACCAAAGACCTCAAAGGACGCAAACCCCCCCCCGGCCCCACCAACCCTCAGCTCTTTTCCCCCGAACCCAAAATCCCGCCACAACCAAACTCTCACTTAGGCATCCATCGCGCAGCCATTCATCTGTTGATTATCAAGCACTGCGTGATGTATCATGAAAGCATGAAGGTTTCAGGGGTTCCGGTACCCGCCCGGCCTCAAGGCTCATCAGTTGTCTTCTGTCTGCTCTGTGCCGTACAAGGCTACTGCAACGCAAAACTTCAAAAACAGGTCAGCAAAAAAATCACTGAAAAGTGCATGAGTGTTGCAATCACGAACGAGTCCCCAAGCTGCCACACAAGTGACCCATGAGCGACTTTTGGTAGGTATACCACACTCAAGCGTCCCTGAGTGCTTCCACCACAGTTCTTCACTTCGTTGGCACGGTTCAAAATACCCTTGGTGACAGAGATCGACACACACGCACACACCCACTGAGCGCGCGCCTGTCTTCAATGAGCTTGCACACGAGGAAGGGCCGCAGCCCAATCGCTTGTCCCATCAAAGAAAACCACATGGGGCCCAGGCAGATGCCCCTGAGGCTTGCAGTAGTGAGTGAAGGGTGCATGCACAAGCTGACGCTGTACGCAGGCGTACCAACCGACACACACACGCGCACGCACACACACACACACACACACTGACTGCACGCCTGTTCTCAATGAGCTTGCACACAATGAGAAGGGCTGCAGCCCATTCGCTTCTGCCAACTTCAGGTGTGACATGCTCTCCAACCAACGGCTTCAAACCTCTGAACAATACACATGACTGTGCTCACTTCCAAGGCAGCTGCAGTATTTCCGTGACATCCACGAAATAACCTTTTTCGCAAATCAACACCGACTGGGCTCTCATCACGTCTGAGACGATCCGTCCAGGCATTTCGCTCTCCAGCAGTATGCGAGCAATGCAGCTAAAATTACACCTGCTCCCATCGAGTTTAATTACCGAAGCAGCAGTATCCCCAGCATTGCCGAAAAGCTGACGAAACTGCAGTGTCACTGTACAAGACGCCAATGGAGCATGCCTGGGACGCAGCACAAGAAGATTCATTGCGCAACCGCTTCCAAGGCCGCAACACAGGCTTGAAGCGACTAGTTGTCATCTGCGCGGGACCCGGAAGGAAGTGATTTCCTGGTCAGCTGAATGAATCTCCGCTGCATCCTTTGGAGCGCCATCGGCAACCGCCAACCTCCCAGGCCAACTTGAAAAACAAAGCAGCCGCATTGACTGACTGCGAATTCACCAGACAGGTCGAGCACCCGTAGTTGTACAATACGACACGAATCCATGTTCTCCCAAAGTGATCACGTCAATGCTTACCGAATGAAGTTTCCAACCAACGCAAACGTCGCAAAAGAGCAAAAACCGCGCAACCCGCAATCCTGGCCCAATACCTGCACGAGCGAAAAGAAGTGATTAGCATGCAGCCATCTAGTCACGGCTTGCGGTTTGTGCAACAGCTTGTAAAGGGCTGCCAGCCAGGAACGAAGCCAGCAAGCCCCGCCGCTGAACCACCTAAGAAATCCCACAACCTTCTCGACCTGCTTGCATTGTACCTTGTTGCCCTTTTGAAGCACAGGACGCAGCGCTTCGAGAGTCTGTGAAATGGCTTGTATGGTCTTTCTGCCGCTTGGCCCGGGAGGACCAAACACGAAGCAACGGGCAATGAAGCGATTGCTGCAAACCCGTCAACTTAAGCTTCCACGCAAGAAAACGCATCGTCGACAAAACACCCATTCCTTTGCTTACTCGAGTTTTGTCCGGGCCGGAGCTCCCATTGACCATCCCAGCGGGAGACAAAATTTCATCCACCGCCGCCATCCACTAAGATGTTTCCGAAATTTGGATGCAGCCTTGTCTTCAAACAACCACTCTACATGAATCTCCTAAATGCCAGCGAGGCCAAAGGAACTCCACTGCGAAGACCCTCGAGCGACAATGGCCCAGGCCATACAAAATTTCTCCCTGTCAGCATCCTCGAGTCTGCAAGTGACGTCGCTCCACCCAAACCACACTGGCCAGCACCGTCCAAAGTAGAAGCAGCGACTTTAGCAACTCGCGCAGATCTCGGAGCCGGCTCCCGAAATTCAACAGAACACAGCTGTCGTTCAGTACGAGTTCGGACAGGAACTTCTGCGCGGGACATGCGCGCGGCAGGATGAGCTAAGCCACCAGTTTGCAAAGACACACGAAAACATGCGCGGGAAGGGTTGGCTCGAACACTCCCTAGCGAAGGGCGGACGGGCAGGCGCTTTCTCATTGCAACAGAAAGACAACAGCAAGAAGCGCACCGACGATAAGAGAAAAAAGCCCGGAAATGTTTGACTCATCTAGCAACTTCTGCAATGAAGGCTGCAGTGGCAAATGTATGGTGCATGCGCTAACTGACGCTGCACACAGGCATACCCCACCCAACCACCACAAAAAAATGAAACATCAATCAGAACAGAAAAAGCTTGAGATCGCCTCAGCCTGCAGATCCCTCCTCATGGAGGGGCGACTTTCGTAGCTCGCAACCACCCTCAGCTGGGAGCTCACGTCGTCCACTTAGAGCGAATTCTGCTGTTACAATAAGGTTGAATCTAATTCATAAGGGTGTCTTTAGTCGTCGTAGTAGCCGTACTAGCAGTAGTAGCAGTAGTACCAGTCGTCGTAGTAGTCGTAGTAGTAGTCGTAGCAGCAGCAGCAGCAGCAGCAGGAGTTGTAGTACTAGTAGTACTAGTAGTACTAGTAGTAGTAGTAGTAGTAGTAGTAGTAGTAGTAGTAGTAGTAGTAGTAGCAGTAGTAGTAGTAGTAGGGCCCAAACAGTTCGAGGTTTTAAGATGCGCAAAGGAAAAATTAAACGTTGTCGCATTGGCGATCTAAGTTACGATGAAAACAACTAGTGATACTGCCAACGCTTGGTAGCTGAGGAGCACTTCCGTCAACTCGACCGATCGAGCATCCTTCTGCGGCTTTAGGGAGTTTGGGTGGATTCAAGGCTGCATTAGGGTCTAGGGTTTAGGGTTTACGGCTGAAGGTTTGGTGTTTAGGGTTTCGGATCTAGCGTTGAGGACGTAAGGTTTAGGCTAAACAGTTGAGGGTTCAGGGTTTCGGCCGCGTTTAGGGTTTGGGGCTGAGGATGTAGGGATTCTTCCTGGTGTTTTGGGGTTTAGGCTGAGGGCTGGAGGTTGTCCGTTCAGGGTTTGTTTAGGGTTGAAAGTTTGGCGTTTAGTGGTTTAGGTTTCGACAGGAAGGGGTGGAGAAGAAGCTTCAGGGTGATTTTCGGGTGGAGGTGCTGATGGCGTCAGCTTGCGGCTGTAGCTAACTGCAACCTGAGAGCATGTAAACACTTCATCCAGGGCTTAGTGTCTGGTGCTTAGTAAGGAATGGGGGAATGGATTATGGAGACTACTACTGGGGATTATACAGTGGTGGCATGTAAGCAACTGCCTGCACATCGAGTATTAGGTTTAGGGTGGCTGCAGCGCCCAGGGGTTTTACAAGGCAAGTCAACCTAAACTCAGGTATTGAAGCTAGAGAGCACTCAAGAGAAATCGAAAACTCTCTAACTTTAAACACTACACGTCCCTGAATCCTCACGTAGGGGCCGTTTGAATTAGAATAGGGCTTTGTGCATGCGATAACTGCTACAACATAAGTATATAAGGACTAATATGTGAATGCTCAGGACCGCGGATACCCTACACCCGAAACCCTCAGCCGTTTCCTGTGATTTCTTGGCTGCGAAAGCATTGGAGATCACCACGCGACGGCAAAGATTCTCAGCCGAGCGGCCTGACTTGCTAAGATGAGGAAGGGTTTTGGGCTCAAGGCTTGAGGCTTCATAGGGCTACAGGGTTTTTGGGCTTAGGGCTTTAGGGTTTACTGGTTCAGGGTATATGGTTTAGGGTTTCGGGTTTAGGATTCAGAGTTTAGGGTTTGGGACAGGAGGAAGGACCCAGAACCTTCAGTGACAGGGCCGCTACAAGGCCTACTGCAAGGCTTACTATTCGGGTGTGTTCCTGTAAGGGTTGCTGCCAGGGTTGCTACTAGGGTTACTATAAGGGTTTCCTTCTTGTAAGGGCCCGCGTTCACAGACGGCCAAGATGATATTGAGTCAAGAACAGATTGGTTCCCTTCTAGGGGTGATCAGCGATTGCAGACAGTTTAAGTTTGACCATGACGTAGTGTTCCAAAGGTTGTTCCAAAGCTCTTCTACACCCAGCAACACCCTTACAGAAGCCTTTTCAAACCTTTGTCAAAGACCGATAGCAAAACCCTGTACAAACCCTGTCAAAACCCCTACGATAAATCAAAACCCGGACGAAACCGTATAGACACTTTCTTAAGACTTTACAAAGCCCCTACAAACCGCTCTAAGACTAAGCAAGGAGTCAGGACTAGCGGGACGCTTGGTGCACTTTTTTGAAAGCCAGAAGTATATAGGGTTAAGAAGGGTCCCCGTTAGAGGGGTCTCCCTAATACTACCTAGGATCAAGCGAGGCCTGCCAAACGAAAGAGGCTGCAGAGCAGGCAAAGGCCCAGGACAAAAGGCAGCACAGCCAAGGCCCCACGGCTCTTCCTCAAGCTAGAAAGTCTTCGCGTAATATTGGGGCCTGGATTGTTAGAATAGGGTACTGGGACCCATTAACTATGCTATCCTCAAAATAATATAGGCAATTATTTAGGCCCCTATAGTAAGGCTTCTCAGAAGGGTTTAAGGGCTCCCACAAGGGTTCCCGTAAGGATTGAAGTTCCTAGAAGGTTTGAGGCTGCCGGTGTACTAGTGATGAGCACTCTGCCACTTGGCACCGAATGCTGGAAGGAGCGCGAATATCAAGACCGCTGCAATAGGCATGCACATGCGGAGCATGAAGCTTATATGATATATGCAGTCCAAGAACTTTGCAAAACTAGCCCTGAAAGCGAGTTGTTCTGTAAACGGAGGAAAATACAAGACCGGGCGACCCGAAAGCGTTTTGGAGCAGCGTGGTAGTCGGCACGGCGACCCCTAACATCACCTCACTATCCAAGCCCCTATCCACACATGCATCTATCCGTCCCTCCATCTGCAGCACCATGCTACGATGCGGCTTCGGCTCGCCTTGCATCGTGCTTCAACTGAAATCAAACTTCATGAAGAGAAAACCTCACGAAACCCTGACAGACAACCCTTTTGAAAACCTCACACCAATATGGTATAATCTACCCCCCCAAACCCCATGCTGATTAGAAAGGCGCCCGTCCCTGTAGTACACCCGAAAGCCTTAAACCTTCCGAGGATCACGTCGGCATAATACCGAGATTGCAGCGGATGGTCAGGCCCTTCGCACGTCGAAGTATCCGGTTGTGGAAACGTCATCTTCTGGCATGCTGACGGCGGAACACCTCGAGCATCAGGGCTCTAGTTTAGGAGACATCGTCGAAGTCCTGGAAAAAGACACTTAAGATCCGATCATATCCTACACGAATTTGCTGTGAGTATTGAGCCAACTCTTCCCTACGACTGCTATACTGTTGGATGGTGTGTTTCAAGGTCGCTTGACACCGCTGTCTGCTGTTCTTGTTGCATACTACGATGACGTAAACGATCGTGAGTACGACTAGTGTCACAAAAAGTCGGTATAGAGCCGTCCTAGAACACGTAACATAGGGGCCTTCATGTCATATATAATAAGAAGCGCTATAAGGAAGAGTACTTCGTAATACAGTAGGTGCTTCTTCAACGTCACTTCGCTGCTTCCGGATCTCGCCAACTAGACTCAGCTTCCTTAGCGAATTAGAGCCCGGGAAACCGAGAATGCCGGAGAAAACTCGAGGAATAGTATTCTTCTTCAGCAGGTGCTAGGTCCATCCAGGGACGGAGGAATAGTACTGGGAATTATTCAAGCATTGTTTTTAGACACTAAAAACTTTGGAAGCCTTAATTAATAAGGCCCTTATACTAAACCCTTATACTACCTGGATCCCTTTTTAAGAACCTTTTCGAGGGAACCCTAACCTTATTAAGCCCTAACCTCTTCTTACCGGCGGCCTGGGAGACCACAGTCATACCAGGATTTCCGATATTCCCCGTCCAAGGAGGTCCAGTGCTCGATGGTGGAGTTCACATTCTCCCCGCCGAGGGAACCTGAGTTGTCCTTCAAGCCCTTTCAAAAGCTACACTCCCTAATATTACAGTTACTACTATCTAATACTATTAATACTATTAGTACTAATAATTATTTACTATTATGGCTCTCTACAAAATAGTAGCGGAAATTAAGAAAAAGATCCCGAATGACAACCCAGGAACAGATGTGATGCGAGTCGCTGTAGACATACTGCCCATAGTCCAGAGGAGTATACCAGCCCATGGTGTACAAGCAATTCAGATCTAGGAGCATAGAGACCACGACTTGTATATAGTTGATAAAGCCTGGGTCCCTGTGAGGAAGGAAGGCAGGACGGGATAATCTCTATGGGCTCCCCTTTGCAAACTTTAGGAAACAAGAAAAAAAGATCCCAAGAGCCCCTAAAACCCTAAATCCTTATGAAGCCGCATCAGTCACTTCGGGAACCCTAAAGAGCCACTGAAAACAACACGACACAGGAAAGGCTCCGAAAGCTTTGCATGACCAAGAGGCAGCCTTCAAATGCAATGTTCGTGCCTAGCATCTTCAGCTCCACCGAATTCTCAAAGTGAGGAAAATCCAGATCTTGGGTTACGATGCAAATGTCCTGCATCATTCCCCCTAAGCTTTAGGGTTTAGGGTTCTTTAGTGTAGGGTTTAGGGTTTAGGGTCTAGGGTTCTGCAGGGCTGATCTTAGGGTTTAGGTTGTAGGGCATGGGACGGCGGCTTTGGTTGGGTTTTGGCTTCAAAGGCGAGGTTGAGAGCAACCGCTACGATACGTGGGCCACTTCGGCTTCTCGCGCATTCCCCCCAAAACCCCCAAGCAGCCCAAAAAGCTAGGGGCGCAGAGCGCCGGATGCATAGAACCTTACATGCCCTTTTCCCAAGTGAAGTGGGTTTAGAGTTTAAGGGGCAGCTTAGGGTTTAAGATGCATATATGGTCAGGCGTCTGGCGTTCCCAGCCCCCCCCCCCCCAATGGTATGGTCTGATAGGGGTGGGGGGGGGGGGGGGGCCTGGCGTGTGCCGAAAGGGGTTGGGGGCCGTTGGAGCTGCCACTGGATGGTGGGGTGGTGCTGGCGGCCAGGTCTCACGCGCAAGCCCTTCGCAAGCAGGCCGTAAACCCTGTAACGCAGCGCGTGCCCCTGTTGTGAGCAACCTTAACTGGTACTTAAAATGCTACACCCAACCCTAAACCCCACCTAACTGCAGGCTCTAAGGCTCTAAGCCTAAAGCAGAGCATACACCGCAAATCCTTCCTCAGCCCGTGTCGACTCGAAGCCTTATACCTTGTAACCGTAAACCCAAAACTCAAAAGCTTGAGCTAAACCCTAAACCCCAAAACCCCACAACCACCCCACAGGGGGAAGAGGAACCCCACACCCCACACCACAGCGGAGGGGGGGGCCCCACCCTATATCCGGACCATTGACCTTTTGGGGGGAGGGGGGGGGGGGGGGGCTGCGTAGCGCGTGACCATATATGCTTACATCCCCCAAAGAAAGCTTCAAGGTTCAGACAATGCCAATTCATGAAGCCCGAGCTGTACACACTCGGAAGAAACCCTCCGATTCCACGGGGAGAACTACGCAAGGGACCCCACAGTGGAATAGGAGAAACACAACAACGTAGGGGCATCTTCCCCAAAAGAGTGTTCGGGGCTTAGGGTTTAGGGGTTTAGGGGTTCAGGGTTTAGGGTGCATTGGTGGCTCCTAAACCCCGAAACCCCTAAACCCTAAACCCCTAAAACCCTAAAACCCTAAACCCCAAACCCTAAAACCCTAAAACCCTAAAACCCTAAACCCCAAACCCTAAAACCCTAAAACCCTAAAACCCTAAACCCTAAACCCTAAACCCCTAAAACCCTAAAACCCTAAACCCTAAACCCTAAACCCCTAAAACCCTAAACCCCATGCCAAGTATCCATAATGAGCAGCAGCCCGGCGACAGCCATACGGCCGATGTTGGAGCGGTGTGCGCCAGTGAGCGCAGTTCTCGCCTGGAGCGTCGCATCGAAACGCTTACAAAAGGCGCCTTAGTCAAACGACTAGGGTTCCTTGAAGGGGTTCCTTTAAATGGATCTATAGGGAAAAGGGGTCTATAAGAACTACTATAAGGGATCTATAAGGGTACTATAATATAGGGGCCTTAATAATTTAAATAGGGTTCCTTTAAAGGGATCTATAGGGAATCTATAGTAGGGTTCCACGATATAGGGGCCTTAATAATTAGAATAGGATTTGGGGGGGCCATGATCGTGCAATTATAGCAAGGAACCCCCCAAGTAGTATTGGTATATAAGTATTTAGGCCCCTTTAAAATAGAGCTACATAGGGTCAGTTGGACTTAGAGTTTACAGTGAAATTCGGGCTTGAGGGTCTCGGGTCTGACGTTACAATTACAACCCCCCACACAGTATCATACGTGATCCAAAATCAAAAAAAACGGGTGCCCGGAGTAGGTCCTACATCCTACACCGCAAAGCACATCTGCCCCGTGTTTCAAAACCAGCGTCTGTCTGGTACTTGATGAGCGCTTCGCTGCTCTTCAGAAGGGAGCTGACTCCCCAAACAGCGACTAAAGCAAAGCAGCCCCAGAGAATGCGGCCACGATTCTTCAGCCAGACACCTCCGGGTTTCTTAAAACGTACAAGGCTCTGCTTTAAAAGGACCGATAGCAGGACATCAGACATCAGGCCGCGATGAGGAAAGAGTGATGCTCCGTCTTTTCGGGATTTCTAGCTTCTTGATATGAACATGCATGTACCTCAACCCAAACCCCAAAACCTTAAAACTCAGCGGTTCGCTGGTGCTGCAGCAAGTCAAGTATGGGATTGGGGCGTCGTGGGGCGGTACCACTCAATGCACCAAAACAATATGCACGAGTAATTAGGAGAACGGCAACCAAACCACATTGGTAACAGCGACAAGGCCCAAACAACATTGCAAAACGTAATCTACATCGACATCTACTTATGCATATGCATATACATCTACATATCGTACCTATGTATGTACATAAACAAGACCAACTTTCGCGAGACTGCCCTCGCATTTTCCGTTTCGGGGCTGCGCGCCAGACCCTTAACCTTAAAACCCTAAACCCTACAAAGCCCAAAACCCGAAAGCATAAAACCCTGAAAACACCCGAACCTAAGACCCCGTAAACCCCTACAAACCTAAAACGCCAAAAAACTGCAAACCCTAGGTTGTGCTCCGGAGCCACGGATGAGGTCACGGTTACCGAAGATCGAAAGCTCACTGTTGATATAGGTTCGCTCATCCTGCCGGTGTCGTATGGGTGTTTCCGAAGATAACGGGCACCTTATATGGGGTTTTTATAATAAAGAACCTACTATTCAGGGTATATAGTATATTAGGGTCCCGTATTTTCGGAACTCCCGTATGGGGGCATAGGCTTCCCTAAGGGTTCTATAGGGGTATTTAAGGTTTCGGGTGTGGGGGCACAGGGTTCCTTGAAAGTGCTGGAAAACCCTAAACCCTAAACCTAAGACCGATAACCAAAAACTTCGAGCCCAATGCCTCACGCCGGAAACCGAAAAACGCAGAGTCTCTCTGCCAGTTTCCAACTAATTACCAACACGGGAGGCTCCGCACTCAGAAAGCTGTTGGTTTAGAGCTTGCAAAACTACCAAGCCTTTCCCAAAGCTTCTAAAAATCCATACACCATCAACAGAAATCCTCAACAACCAGACAGCATTAGACTGCTGCAATTCTTGCATTCCTTGAAACCTCTAAGCCCTGAGAACCGCCCCTCGAAACAACTAAATCAGCAAAACTAATCTTTTGGAATTGGTCGGACATTTCCCACAAATTGCGAAGCTATACGTCACGCTCAAGGGTTAATGGCGGCGGTCACGAAATCTATAATTACATTCACGATCATGGCCTATACATGGACAAATCAAGTGACTTTCACACTCAACCTGCTCTCATGTTGTGATGTAGAGCGTCAGCGAAGTCCTAAGCACATCGTCATGTTCACTAGCGAGCCAAAACGCTTCCAGGATCCGATGATCCACTGTGTCGACGTCGGCGTCGGCGCGACACGCAACAGGACCCCGAATGGGGCCAGCAAGGAGCTGCAAGGTATAGGTCCTAGTTTGGTTTTGCAGCTGTTAAGTATACTCGACGGCCTTAATCACTCCGATCTATTCTATTAGACGAAGTGAATCGTCACTGTGAGTTGTCTGGCACACCGTACCTTTTGTTGGACAGTGCACAAACTTTTCGTTGGCAGGAAGCTAGTATACCAATACAACCCATGTATGGTATGGGTGATGCGAGCTTCTACGGAAACGAGAAGGGCTTGCTAGACGATTTCGAAGGGTGGTGCACAAATAGTTACGCCTACATGTCGCCCCGAAGCTCCCACGATGTCTCAAGACTTTTTAGTCTGGCTCAGGCATGTTGCCGAACGCCAAGTTGCCACTGCACAGGTGTTACAAGCAGCCTTCCCATCAATCAAAGAGTTCGATGATGGTACCTTCGATTAGGTTGAGTCGCCACAAGATTTTGCACCGATGCCGGCTCCATTACCAATTTGGAATTGGTCGGACTTTTCCCGAAAACTGCGAAGCTATACGTCAAGCTCAAGGGCCCTAATGGCGGCGGTCACAAGATATATAAATTTACAATCATGGCCTGTACATGTGCAAGTGACTTTCACAGAATCCTTATGGCTCCTTGATATGCGTCCAACAACGATTAACCGTTCAAGCCACGATACTAAAACCGTCCCATGGAACCCAACAAAAAATAGGACAACTATGCAAAAAATATACCCCGTACTATCATTTATACCCCCGAAACATAGCACGCAGAGTTCAGCGGTCCTGAAGAATCAGGTCGAGCACCTGCCAAAATGCCACCGAGGAGGAATTCGGTTAGGATGCAGGGTGAAGGTCTTTTGATTTCCGCAGCAGTAGCATCAGCAGTAGCAGTAGCAGTAGCAGTACGTGTAGCAGTAGCAGGAGCAGGAGCAGGAGCAGGAGCAGAAGCAGTAGCAGTGGCAGCAGCAGTAGCAGCAGCAGAGTAGTCAAGCAGCAGCAAAAGTACTAATATTTAACTAATAGTAGCTGGCCGTCGCAGTAGACCCTAAACCTGAACCTGCAAACCCGTAAATCCTCCTACTAACTAGCCCTGCCCCATATCCCAAGGCACCAAGAAGACCGCCAGGCTGTCTGCCAGGAAAGCTCCACACTGTGTCAGTCGCGCGAAACTGCTGTTGGAAATGTGAAGGTCGTTGCTCCTGGGCCCAGAAGCTCCAATATCCCTTAATTAAGGAACATCATAGTAGGACCCCTCATAGGATTTGAGGTGTATCGGGTGCTTCTTGTGCGAGCTTCCGAAAAGGGGGGACCTTTAAGGGATCTATAGGGGTTCGATTAAGGGTTTAGGGTTTAGGTTTGGGAGATTCCGAAGATTGGGGACCCTAAAATAGCACCCTTTATCGTAGGATCCTTATTATCAGGATCCCCAAAGAAGGTACCCCTGATTGTCAGAAGGCCCCATATGAGTAGTGCGAAGACTGACGACAGCTTGCTTAGGAACCCTTCGGCCCCTCTAGTAGCCTTGTAAAGGATCCCCTGGTTTAGGGGTGTAGGGTTCAGGGTTTAGGGTTACCCATAGTAACCCTTCTAGCAAACCCCTAAGCCGTGTAGTTGTCCTCGCAACAGCAACTACAGCCTTGCTTTCACGATGTGACAACAGCAACTGGCCAGGCGCGAGGATGCACAGCTAAGCAGTCTCTCTAAGACTCCAGGATTCGGAGTACCGGCTGCCAAGGCATTCGCGGCATCTGGGACTGTCACTCCCCTGACGCTGCCATCACCACTTCAGCTACCACTACTACTGCTAGTACTACCGCTACAGCTACCGCTCCTGCTACGGCTCCTCCTACTCCACCTCCGACTGTACTCTCCCACTCCGAGTCAAAGTGGTCGTCTCCGACTCCTACTCCTCCTCCTCGTTGTGATCCTTCTTCTCCCAGTACTACCGTGACCACGACCACGACCAAAGGCTCGGCTGCGGCGATTGCAACAACATGCCAAAAGCAGCAATGCACATGATGATGCCGACAGGCACAGATGCAGCAACTCAAAGTTTTAGCAAAGCTTCAGCCATTCCGGATCGCACACCGGCTGGTCGCAGGCCGCATGTCTGAGCTGAAGCGCTTCTCGAGATCAAAGCTTCTGTTCAAACTCCCAGGGACCACGACTCTGACTATGGGGCGCAAGCCGCAGCGTCTGCCTGCAAACTACATGCTGACCATCTTGGTTCGGGGAAAGATAACTACATGAACACCTATACAAGAGCTGCAACAAACTCCTCAACCATTGACAGCTATTGACAGCTGTACTTCCTTCCTCCTGTCCCAAGCACTGAAGACACAAACATCACCTTACACCCAAAGCCTTGAACCCCGAACAGACTCTGAATACAACCGCGGAAAAAGACAAAAATGCAAAGCCAGGCGCTTGGTGACCATGGCCCACCGAATGAAGTTGTACACCTCCAGGTCTCTCGGAATGTAAATCCTATCGAAGCCTTCTTGAACCTTTGACATCCCTAAGCCGTTTTGAACGTGCAGTTCAGGGTTTAGGGCTGAGGACCTTCTTGAACCCAGCTCCATACAGCAGCATATATGGGCCGAAAACCCCACATGTTTTGAATCCTAAACCCTCAACCCAAAACCCGTATCAGCCTATTGGCCTATTGGGCATCGCTCAGCATTTCTGCACCTTCGCGCTGAGAATGAGGCTCACGACCACGCCGACAAATCCAATTACCAGAGTGCTGCCTGTGTACGTGAACCTTTGCTTCGGTCAAGCAGCTGCTACGGGGTTGAGGGTCTCAGCACCCGAAGGGTCTTCACTTCAGGATGTTGGGTTCAGGCAGTCTCTTCCGCTTTCGGCGTGCCGTATGCTTCTGAGACACAGAACCACTGAGCCGCAAGCCGATGTTCTATGTTCTATGTCTCAGGCCCAAAACATGCCTAAAAAACCCAAAATCCTGCAAGCCCGAACATCCTAAGTCCCTATCACCCAAAACCCCTGAAAACCCGAAAATCCTAAAACCCAAAACTCCTAAATCCTGAAACCCTAACACCCAAAACACCTCAAACCCAAAACCCCTACAATCCGAAAAAAAACTTAAGAAATCCGCAAGCTCGGGAGCATTTCGAAGCGCAGGGCCAGTCGTTTCTTGAGCTTCCGAGTCAGCAAGATTCCTGCCTTCGGCAGGGCTTCGGGTGTCGGGCAAGGTTTGGTTTGGGTTAAAGTGCGCCTTTAGGTGATGGGTTTGTTGTAGGGTTTCTATGGGCGTTTATGGCTTGGTGTTATCTGTGCTTCTAGGGTTTTAACGAGTTTGTATATGCTGCTTGGGGTTTTGCTACGTTTGGATGCCTGCCTTCGTAGGGGCTGGAGAAGAGGAGCCTGAGACATTTTGGGTGTTTAGGGCTTAGTCGGTATGCTGTTTTAAGCGAGGTTTATACGGACTGCCGAGTGTGTAATTTAGCATCGGGCGCAGGCTGCGGGTTTAAAACTTTGAGTTGTGGTTTATCGACATCTCTGCCCTTGTTCGAACGAAGGGTCCGAACAAGGCTTTTGCAGTACTCCATCACCGGGGATTTCAATAGCAAGGGGCACACACCGCTTCGGATTACTCGGCATTTAACAAAGAACTCCATCCAGCATCTATGCAACTGTATGGACCCGTTATGATCAAGAATGCGGGTTGCTCTCTAAATTTGGGTCCCTTTTGGGGTCCCCAAAATAGTACGGCACCCTTACAAAAAGGACCCTAAAAGGAGCCCTAACTTAGAACTGCCCATGTACAACACAGCAGACGCACAAACATCCCGATTTGAGAGCCCTGCCGCAACGAAGGATGACAGGAGCAGCAGGCGCAGCAAAAACCACCGATTCAGCTGATCGAAGGAGAGCCGGAAGAGAAAGAGGTTGACCTAAGTTGCAATCAATGTAACAATAATGACAATTTTTGAGACAGTTGTAATAATAGTAATGAACAAGGGCTTGGTGTTAATCTCTGCACCGAAACCCCCAAACCTCAAAATCCCTAAGCCTCGAATCCAAAGATCCCCAAACCCTAAACTTCAAAGCCGCGGAACTAAGGAACAAACTCCTAAGGGTTCCTTAAAGGAAACAGGCGCGTAAAAAAACCTGGTAGTTTCCTGATTGCCCACGAGCATCCATGGGCAAACCACAAAATGTCCACCCAGCCCTCATCCGTTCCCCAGAGCATCCATGAGAAAAGCCATGATAATTAACGTCCGCCCAGACCTCATCCGTTCCACAGAGCATCCATGGCCAAAACTATGATCACGTGCAACTAGGCCTCATCCGTCCCTCAGCGCATTCATGGGCCAAAGCCATGATTTCGTGCACCCAGACCTAATCCGTTACCCTCTGCGCACACGGGCCAAAACCATGATAACGTCCACCCAAACATCATCCGTCCCCCACAGCATCCAGGGCCCAAAACAATGATAAGGTCCACCCAGACCTCATCCTCCCCCCAGACCATCCATGGGTCAGCCATGATAATGTCCACCTAATCCACATTCGCTCTCCAGCTCACCCATGGGTCAACCAAGATATCAAGCACCCTGACCTCGTCCCCTCCCCACAGCATCCATGAGCCAACTATGATAACGTCCACACAGACCTCGTCCTTTCCTCAGAGCATCCATTCGCCAACTGTGACGACGGCCGCCCAGACCTCTGGCGCCGAAAAAGCCCACGGCATCCAGATCTCTCTAGGTACCTAGATACCTCTTTGAGTTCGTGTGGAGGTACCAAACTGCCGCTTACGCAACATTCATTGAGTTTATGGCTGACATTTCCTAGTTTGTCGTGCTGTTCTGATTTCCAGATTTTCAGCCGAAATATCAGCGTACGTGCACAAAACAACACGACCCTATGCTTTCCTAATTCTCTGGTTGTCAGCCTAGCCACCGAGTTCCGAACACGAAATGCCCAAAACCCGAACGAAAAGCACTTCGCATACATTTAGTCTCCAGGTTTTTTTTTGCGCCTGTGACCTCCTTGAAGGGTTCCTTAAAGGGGCCTATAAGGGATCTATAGCGGAGTTAAGGAATATGGCTCAACTCATATTAGGTAATATAATTTATGGCATATTCCTTCATTAAGGGACACTAAAGTCTCTGGGTACCAGTAGCTGCACGACCCACAAGTGACCAGAACCACACCCTTTAGGGTTTAGGGCTTAAGGGTATAAAGGTTTAGGATTTAGGGTTTAAGGGTTCAGGGGTTTAGGGGTTTAGGGTTCAAGGGTTTACAGTGTAGGGTTTAGGGTTTACAGTGGAGGGTTAAGGGTTTAGGTCGTGGCACTGAAGCCTAAGTTGCATAACAAGCCTGAATAGTATACCGTGGTTACTGTGCTTTTTTGGGATGCTATGCTAGACTTTGCAGTAAGGAAACCTCTATGACGTTGATTCTCATGTTTTTGGAACCTTAAGGAACCGCAAAACGAAATTCACAGTCTTCTCCATTGAACCCTAATATACTATAACATACTACTATATACTGTAATATACTATAACTTACTATTAAATGTTATAATATACTATAACTTACTACTATATATTATCGTAAAAGCCGACCGAGGGGCCAAAGGGCCCAGTTGGGAGGACATGCAGGGTGTCATCGAGTAGGTGGTTGGATCCTCCCAGACACCCGGGGCCCCTCCTCCCACCAGGGCGGGGCCCTTTTAAAGCCTTTCGATTTGGGTGGTTGTCAAAACTATGGTCCCTTTTTTGGGGTCCCTATTCGGCACCTAGTATTTCGGGTACCCCAAAAGGGACCCTAATTTTGGCAACTGCCCAAATAAGAGTTTCCCAAAATAGGGGACCCTAACTTAGTACCCTAAATAGTAGGATCTTTATTATAAGGCCATAATAAGGTGCCCCTAATCTTCGGACACTCCCAAATATTCGTAGCTAAGATCCTCTTCGGTCCGGCCCAATGAGGGAAAATAGAAAATGCCTCAAACGCCGACCGTGAGGATGCCTGAGTAGAGGTTGGTGGCTTCGGATTCAGGGTTCAGGGCCTCGGACGTAGGGTTTTCGGGCTTCGGGTTTAGAAGCTCCACTGGAACTGAAGGAACCTTCCAGACGGAAGGGTTCCTTAGGGTTTGGGGCTGAGGGTGCAGGGCTAAGGGATAAGGGTTTTGGGTGTTATAGGGACTTAAAAGGAATCATTGCTCATTGGTCCGACGGCTACATGACGTCATTTCGGCGGCCGTGAAATGAGGCTCCTGCTGTGTAGTTAGGGCCCATAATGCCATATTCCCCCTTCAGGCACCTCGCCGAAAACATCCCTAAACCCCAAACCTAGGGCCTATGTTCCCTGCAGGCACCTCACCGAAAACATAAAGGTCGAGCAAGAAGAGGGCGATCACGAAAAGAAGTCGGACGATGGGATGTCTCCTGGTTTCGCGGGGGTTTGGGGGTTTAGGGTTTAGGATGGTTTAGGGTTTAGGGTTTGGGGTTTAGGGTTTAGGTTTAGGGGTGGGGAGCTTAGGATCTAGCAGTTTAGAGCTGACGGTCGATTTGGGTAGTTCCCTAAAGTAGGGTGGCTTTTAGGTTGCTTTCTCTGAAGGTGCCGTACTATTTTCTTAATTTAGAGAGCGACCCGTTTGCAGGATCTAGGGGCTGAGTGTATACAGTTGAGGCTGAAGATCGTCCTGACAGGTTTACGGTTCAGGATTGGGGTGGTTTAGGGTTTAGGGTTTAGGGTTTAGGGTTCAGGGGTTCAGGGGTTCAGGGGTTCAGGGGCTCAGGGGTTCAGGGGTTCAGGGGCTCAGGGGTTCAGGGGCTCAGGGTTCGAAGTGTTGGACTGAAAGGTTTCAGGGGTTCCTGTGGACGGTTCAGGGTTGTGACAGTTCAGGGTTCGGTTTTCTGGCCGACGAGGCTTTTATCAAGTTCTGTAAATAATTAGGCCTTATTGGGTCCGTTATTATAGGTATTAAGGCCCCCTGCCCCCCCTAAACCCTAAACCCTAAGTTGTAGGTATAAGACCCCCTACCCGTTCATGGAGCTCAAAGGACCTTTATCCAGGAGCTGAGCAACCCTCTGCAACCCAGAGCCCGGTAGGGTTTACGACTGGGGGCTACAGGCTCTGGTTTTGCTTTTAGAGCAGTTTAAGCTTGAGACGGAGAAGTGTCACGAATATGAAAGTTTAGAGCATGCACAGGGATTAGGGTTTGGGGAGCCTGCATCAGTTCTGGTACTCTTCCTCGAAATTCCTTCATGTAAATGTGGGATCAACCTCCTTCGGACTACTTGACATAGGCAGCGTATGAATCCACCCAAACCCTGTCTGATGGCGTAGGTGTAGGTCTTTTCTTTTGGCACAATCCCGGGACTGTCCAAGGCTTCTGATGAAGGCTTCAATCTGCGAGGGCTTAGGACTTACTGCAGATGGTGACATTTAGGAGCCTGGGAAAGGTGTTTGTGGCAGGAAGGCCCATAGAAGCTGCCCCCACCCTGTAATAGTGACCATAAGGATTATATAGGATTCTATTAGGGCCCTATTATATTCCCATTATACCACTCTTACAGGGACCCTGGGTGGGGGCAGCTTCCAACCTAACCCTACCTTCGATCCAAAGGTCCAATAGGTTTGGAAGGCGTCATAGCGATCGTAAATGCCGTTCTTCTGTGGCTTCAGTTGCCGCAGCCTCGGAACTGCTCGGGCTCGGAGCAGGGCTTTGCAGGTTTAGGGGTTTTGGGGGTTTAGGGGTTTAGGGTTTTGGGGTTTAGGGTTTAGGGGTTTAGGGGTTTTGGGGTTTAGGGTTTAGGGGTTTAGGGGTTTAGGGGTTTAGGGGTTTTGGGGTTTAGGGTTTAGGGGTTTAGGGGTTTAGGGGTTTTGGGGTTTTGGGGTTTTGGGGTTGCGGGTTCAGTTTTAGGTCTCGGATTTTGGACTTTGGGGTTCAGAATTAAAGGTGTTCACGACTTGGGGAATGGGGTTTCGTCAATTGTTGGCCGTAGGTGCTTTGCGAAACGACAGTTATGTTGAAATATCTTTCTGGTCCTGCTACGACTCGGCATTTATGCACATGGTTTGACACCTGGAATTTACTACGGCTTGACTATGAAGAGAATATGCTCGCAAGATACGAAAAAACACGAAATCGACACGAAAATTTGCGCTACTGCACTGAATTTCAGGTACTCCTGCGACAATCGAATCTCGCTGACTGAAGAAGTCTCACGAGGTCAGAGGTCGCCAGGGCCGGTTGGCCAAGTTCACACATGCGAAGTCATATGTAAATGGATCGTACCAGGCCATACAGATAACTATCTAAAAAAAGCTATGATTGACCTACAGTTGGGGTCAGTTGCGTAGATGGCTGATGACGCAGATGATTTAAAAGAACTCTACAACCGAATCTCACGCTTTAGAGGCTGGGGCAGGTTTGCATGTTTGGCTTCGCTTAGAGCCCCCCAAATTGCGACTCCCGGGATCCCAAACTATTCTGCCCAAACCCTACGTAGAAACTCGAAACCTTGACAGCGTGACACCAAAAAGCCAAAACTCCGAACCCGAAAACTGTAAAACTCCAAAGCCCAAAACGCATTCGCTGCTAGGCTTTCGATCCCTGCATCACCCAAAGCCTAGCCCTGAAAATTCCTGAACCTCTGAAACTCCAAGACCAAACGTGACAATCCGAATTTTGGTGTTGGACACAATACTGAGAAATATTCATGAGAAGAGTAATGATTCTGTGAGAGCAGCTCGCAGATTTTCGCACGAACCTGAACCTGCTCGGTCATTGTTTTGCACAGCGAATGCTTCCCGGCCTTGTCTCTTGGTTTCGAGTGTTTTCAAAGTACCACTTCCCATATGTCCTGGTGGGATTCAGAGACATGGCCAACATGCTTCCTTCCATGCACTGGCGGGATTCACGCGTTTCCAGGCCAAAATGTGGCCAATGAGTTAACGGGCTTTACGCTGAAAAATAATCGGGGCACCAGCGCAAACGATGCCCCGGGCCGTGGGAGCGTGGAGTATTCCGCCGTGTACGGCTCCGCGGGCATGCTGAAACCAATTCTCTTTCCACTTACCGAAAAAACTCTGTAGTGCGTACGACACTGTTTCAGGAGAACCCTAGACTCCTAAACCTAGACCCCTTAAGCCCTCCAACAGCCCCAAACAGCCCCCAGAGCCCCTTTGAATGCTCAAGACAGCCATGGCAACTTCTCAACCAGCTCTTCCCCAGTGAGGGAGTGCTCCTGGCCATCGGTTCAATGACGGTTCGGTTTTTTTTGGGGGGATTGGGGGGCATATTCCTTGTACTGGAATATCATGCTAGTACGTAAGTATAATATAAAACATCCTGATCTCACTATATTGTGGCATCAGGCAACCTAAAATCACTATACTTCACGGTGTTAAAGGGCGGTTGTCAATATTAGGGTCCCTTTTTGGGTCCATATTATATTACGGCACCTAATATTTAGGGTACCCAGAAAAGAAACCCTGATTTTGACAACCACCCCTATACTTCATGGTCTTAAAGTGTAATTGCCACTTTTTGTGGCGGCGGTCGTTTGGAGGTTCAGGGCCGCCGACCTGAGTTTTGCCCGCCTCATTCTGGCGAGTTTTGCGCCCTTCGACACAACAAAGGGGTTAGGGTTTAGGGGTTTAGGGTTTGAGGGTCTCAAGAGTTTCAACAGGGTTAGCAAGGTATGTCACATTACGAGTAGAAATACTATAAGGATTTTCAGGAGATACCAGAGCAACCAGCTCCCTAAACCCTTAGCCCCACGACCCCCTCTTCTTAGGGGCCGACATGCTTACCAGGGCTATTTTCCCTATTATCAGTATAGTATGACAAACTATACCCCATCTCCCGATTCTAGTTACTCCCCTTGAAAAGGAACCCTTAAAGGAACCACCCTAGACACGTATACGGAGCCGTTTGAACCTTGAACGAACCCTCTTCCCCTTGAGCAGCTCTTGTTTTTACACCCTTTTAGGAACCCTTATCAGGAGCCCTATTTTAAGTATTACGGAAACTAGCCCTACTAAGGCTTGTAGTATATTGGGGACACTGGCCCTAGTAAGGCTTCTAGTACTTTTGGGGTAGAGCCGTTTTAAAAGAGAAACCCCCAAACCGTAAAGCCCAAAACCCCTTTAGAAGGAACCCTCTTCATGGAGGCCCCTACCTCTATAGTATCCCTTACAGTCCAGTTTAGGAGCCTTTAGAAGGAACCCTCTTCTATGAAGGCCCCTCTTTGCACCGGCCCGTATTACACCCTTACAGTAGTCTTTAGAAGGAGCCCTATTAAGGCTTAAAGGAAACACTTAAAAGGAACATGCAGGCCCCTTCTTTCCCCTCTTAGAACCCTAATCCCGGCCTAATCCCTAAACCCTAAATCCCTGAAACCCTAAACCCTAAATCCCTATTCCCTAAACCCTAAACTCTCTTCACCGGCCTCCCCTTCGACCGGCATCTGCCGCCTCTGGTGCGCTACTGAGCCTCCCCACTTGGAGGTTCATGAGTAGTGATAAGTAGGGTAACTGTACTTGTAACCCATATTGGGGGGACTTATAACCCCACTTATCACAACCCATGAACCTCCAAGCAAGTCAAGGCAGAAGGAGCGGCTAAAAGGCCTTGAAAGCTCCTGGGTGGGTTTAGGTTTTAGGTTTTAGGGTTTAGGGTTTAGGATTTAGGGTTTAGGGTTTACGTAGGGTTTTGTTTTAAAAACTCCTTTTTCCAGGGGGCGACAGTTTGCTGCATCCTAGAAGGCCAGAAGGCCAGGAGAGATGGCCACTTACGGGCACATCAAACACCTCAGCAAAGAGAAAAAGCCCTCTCACCCGACGGACCCGATAACGGACTGCACCTCATAGCCCTTCAGCCACCAGTAGGGTTTAGGGTTTAGGGTTTAGGGTTTAAGGATTTCCTGCGATTTGTGAGGGTTTAGGATGAGGGGTGCTCAGGGGGCTCCAATGATTCAGGACGCCAGATGCGAGAAAAAAGGGGACCTTGAACAGGCTTTCTCGCATAGTATACCTGGTAGTTACCGAGTTACCGACGGACTACCCCGAAGGCCTTCCCGAAACCCTAAACCCTAAACCCCTAAACCCCAAACCCTAAACCCCTAAACTCCCAAACCCTAAACCCCGAAGGCTCACCGAAAAATCATGCCCAGGCTGCCTCGGGGAAGGATCTTGGAGCGAAGGCCTTCCATGATTCCTTGAGATAGCGGTTTAGGGTTCAGGGTTTAGGAGTTTAGGGTTTAGGAGTTTAGGGTTTAGGGGTTTAGGGTTTAGGAGTGTAGGGTTTAAGAGTTTAGGATTTAGGGGTTTAGGGTTCAGGGGTTTAGGGTTTAGGGATTAGGGGTTTGGGGTTTAGGGGTTTAGGGTTTCGGGTTGAGGTCTTGGCTCTTGTTTGTTTAAGGGGGGGGTGGTTGGGTCGCTGTTTCACAGGCCGCGACTAAATGGCAGTAGCAGTCCGATTGCTGCTGTTGCTGCCTCCTCGTTCGTCTACTGCTGCTGCCACTACTACTACCAATATCCCCACGATTACCTGATCATCACTACTTTGGCCATCACCAAACTAATGTTCATCGTTGTCGTCAACATCAGGAATTATCGTTACAACCATCGTGATTGTGGAACGATGTGTTGTCCATCATGATATTCCGAGCTAACCCCCTTCTTCGTCACAGCAAGGATCCTCACGGTCCCTCTGAGCACAATCATCATCAGTATCCTCGCTACTCAACAGGACCCTTTATGTTACTGGCTAAAGAGAGGTTGCTCTTTTGCGGCCTGGGGGCCTCGGGCTATGGTTCAGTGGGGGAGATCCGTACATCAAAAGATGAGCCAGGAGGCTGGAGCGGTCCCGGGATGGAGACGCCATGGCATCAAGTGTGCTCATAGTTACAAGCAAGACGTGGGAATATGCATTGGCTCAATGGGAGTGCGGAAACTTTGCGACGCCTGCCGCTCCGTGTTTTGGCGGAACTGAAACCCTCGTGGTAAGCGATGTCGCCTGAAGCCACTGTTGGCGGATTCCACATATGACAGTGGGCCTGGCAATAAGGGCCGGCTACTGTCGGAGAGATCAGTGGGAGCACCAGGGCCAGTGGTGCTTGAGACTTCCACCTTTGCCTTTGGCTCGCTTTTGTTTGGTTTTGTAGTGATGCCGAGCATGACTCTTTTTACGATTGCTGACCCCAGGCGCCTAGCTGCTAATATTCTGTGGCTTCTGGTCGGTAGGGCTGCCAGTCACGTTGGGGAGTAGCGGTGCCGACATTTTTCCGACATTGTTGTTCAAAATGAAATTCAACGCATCCGGCGTCATGGAAAGAAGCTGGAACAAGCTTTGACGGATTCCACATCCTCGTGCTGCTACTGGTATCGCCATGATTGCCGTCGTAACGGTTTCGCCCAGCATGCATCACCGCCACCAAACAATACCAACTCCTCTTGCGAACAAGATGTTCGGGAATGGAATGCCTCTTCAACTGACGAAGCAGAATGAGCCCTCTGGGCCGCTGCCCCATACTTGTCAAGGTTGCAAGCATTGGTAATGGTAGCGCTAAAAAACCAGCAGCAGTAGAAGTAGCAGCAGTAGCAGCAGCGACAGTAGGAGGAGGAGGAGTAGGAGTAGGAGTAGGAGTAGGAGTAGGAGTAGGAGTAGGAGTAGGAGTAGGAGTAGGAGGAGGAGGAGGAGGAGTAGGAGTAGGAGTAGGAGTAGGAGTAGGAGTAGGAGTAGAAGTAAAAGTAGGAGTAGGAGTAGGAGTAGGAGTAGGAGTAGGAGTAGGAGGAGGAGAGTAGGAGTAGGAGGAGGAGGAGGAGGAGGAGTAGGAGTAGGAGTAGGAGTAGGAGTAGGAGTAGGAGTAGGAGTAGGAGTAGGAGTAGGAGGTAGTAGTAGTAGTAGTAGTAGGAGTAGCAGTAGCAGTAGCAGTAGCAGTAACTCGTGGTCGCTTTGCTCGGTGGCAGTCAACCTTGGCAGCCCTTGCGTCCGTACTATGTGCAGTCTCGCTTTCAATCCCAGCGGGTACGTGCGTGCTGCTCTGGACTGAGGTTCTCTTGTTCTTCATCTCGGCGGCTGGCTCAGTCGACTGGTGCGCTGCGGTATTGTGTGGAGGACCTCTTAACGCTGGGTATGCCTGCCTTCTTGCGCTGTGGAAGCTCCGCTGTGATATGGAGTCGAGGTCTCCATGCTCGTTGGCTCTAGGTCCGCTTTTTCAGTGCATAGTGCCTTCTGGCTCTTAGTGGTGCACATGTCGATCCCACACTTGCTCCTGGGGACTGCCACTTGTGATGACATTGAGCTTGTCTCTTCCGAGGGCGAGGGAGAGGACCAGAGGCGATTGGATGATCGTTCGGATGTGGCCGTGTCGCGTGCTGCAGAGCTGTATGGAGAGCCGCTGAGTGGGCCGGATTTTGTATACCACGGGATCTATTTTGCTGGGGCTCGGGACTTGCTACCGGTGGAGGTTGATCTGAAAATGGAGTTCCTTGCGCAAGGGATTTACCTGATACGTGGGGTGGGAGTCTCTCAACTCCCGTATCCTTCAGGTCATGCCGCTGAAATGTTTGCATTTTCCATGGCCGCACATGGGCAGATCAGGTGGGAGCAAGCGCTTCGACTTGTTAAGATGCTACCGTGTGACCCCAACATGCGCTGGCAACAATCGGAACAACACGCAGAAGCTCCTCGGCGCTTCACTGCGGGTGCTTGGAATCGCGGGCCGATGACGGGCATGACCATAACCACACGTACTTTTCCATGGGTGACTGCTATCTTGGCCAGCGTGGTATCCACTTGGGATGGTTCGCTTTGCTTCAGTACTTGCACGCTCTCCCTTAATGTCTGTGCGAAGCCTCACAAGGATAGGTTCAATCACGGAGCCTCCCGAAACCTTGCTCTGCCGGTGTCACGCTTTCTTGGTGGTGAGCTGTTTGTGGAAGCAGATGAAGGGCGGTCTAGGCTCTGCGAGGATGGCCCTTGGGGTCACATTCTTGAGCTCTCCACGCCTGTGTCTTTCACGCCGAAGGCTCTGCATGCAAGTCTGCCGTGGTATGGAACTCGATTACTCTTGCTCGCTTTTCACATTGGGCAGGTTCGTAATCTTTCTGAGCGGTGCAAAGCAGGCCTACATATGTTGGGCTTCCGTTTGGGGTTTCTGGAGTAAGTTGCGGCACTGCACTCGAAAAGGACTACAGCTCATTGGATGGTCGTGTGGAGCCATTGCTCGATCAAGTCCGTTCTGCTGAGGCGATACATGTGCTGAACGCCTGAGCCCTATCACAAGCTGTTTTGCACAGAGTGCAGTCAGACAGTGATGGTGTTTTGAGGTGGCCATTCTTGCAATGTGCATGCGATTCTCAGCGAGATGATTTCCGATTTCAGTGTGGAGTGCCGCGATGCCTTGGCGAATACGGCACAAGCACACGTGATGCAGCTGTTGCCTGTGAGCGGGTAGACGCCTTCGCGCAGTCCTCTTATGTACACTGGTAGAGTAGATGTCTTTCCACTTTCCTACTTTCACTATGCTTTTAATCTTCTCCTACTGCGCTGATGCTGCTGAGCTACGGCTCGGGCATGTCGCAAGCTTGGCCCTTCGGGGCGGTGCGGCAGCGCTTCTTATGACTGAGGTTATCGAAGATAACGCTGCCTAGTGCAGCCAGACATAGTCTGCTCGCCAGCACGCGAGGTGGACCCAGACGTTCATCGCGAGGGGAAGGAAGGAAGCAGTAGCAGTAGCAGTAGCAGTAGCAGTAGCAGTAGCAGTAGCAGTAGCAGTAGCAGCTGCAGTAGCAGCTGCAGTAGCAGCAGCGACAGGAGCAGCACTAGCAGCAGTGGCGGTGGTCGTCGTACCACTACTGCTGCTGCTGTTGCTACTACTACTACCACTGCAGCCACTGCGACCACCACCACAAATCTGGCAGCCATCAAGCTCGCTGCTTCCCGACCTAAACCTAAACGCTGTCAAAACGACTAGGCCCATGGCCATCGCTCAACTAATAAAGCAATTTCGCCACGTATCCACTTTGATACTCATGGGACGGCCATGGGAGAAAGAAGACAGAAGAAATGGGACGACTTATATTGGGCAAAGCCATGGCTCTCGGCTATTGACTCACGAGGCCCTGAGGGATGAGCCACTGGGGGTACACCTCAGTTCCAAAAACCTCGCGAACCGCTATCCTCAACCCGCGCTCTTTGACCGAACTTCTTCTCCCCTTGCGCGCGGACGGGGCGTTCCAGGAGTAGGGAGAGTAGCCCAGCTCCTCTGCACGCTGCCCATCCGAGGTGTGTGTTCTGGGCAGCAAGGGTTCCACTACGGATGACGATTCTAGAGAAAGTGCTGCTGTTACCAGTGCTGCTAATAGTCATACTACTGATACTGATACCACTACCATATGCTAACATTGGGTATACATACTTTTACACATGTAGTTACGGTGAGCATCACCAAAACTTGCTCCCTTCCTTGAGTCTTGAAGCTGCTTTTGGCTCCTCCAGAAAATGCCGAACAAGCCTCTTCTTCCAAGTCTACATCGGTATTATAGGTATTATAGACAGAAAAGACTTCAAGTACAACAATAACCCCTAAACCCTAAACCCTCGCCCCTAAAGTACAAACAGAGTTTGGGGACATCCTGGTGCCCGATAGCCTGAACCTTTAACTCTAACAACCTGCGGAAGGAGATGGACGGGTGAAGATTTTCGGGTTTGGGGGCCTAAAGCCTAAGCCCCAAACCCTAAACCCTAACCCTTAAACGCCTAAGACCTAGACCCTCAGTTCTTAGGCTTTCGGACCAAGCCTGCACCCGAAAAGCCCTTCCATGAGGCTGTCCTGGAAGTCGGTTCGATACCGGTGGTAAGCCTCAGAGGGTCGAGGGTTGGCTCCTGAGGTTACTTGCAGGGTCATGGGTAGTTATAAGTGGTGCTATAGGGGTTCTTGTAAGGGTCCCTTTAAAGGGTCCTACGGGGATTTAGGGTTTAGGGATTAGGGCTTAGGGCAGCTATAAGTGGGGGCTATAAGTCCCCTAATATAGGTTATAAGTGTAATCACCCTACTTATAACCCTACTTATAACTACCCATGAACCTCCAAGTATAGGATTTCGGGCTTAGGGCAGTTCGGATTTAGGGCGAAGGGAAGGTTCGAGGGTTGAGGGTTTAGGACCAGTGCCGGCGACCTCCGTTGCCTTCAAAACTTCGGATTGCCAGGCTGCGGGTTTATGAGTTTGTGGGCTTACTTGGAGGGTCGGGGGACTTAGTAAGTAGGTAGTAAGTAGACTTATAAGTACCCTAAAAGGGACCCTAATTGGGGTTATGGTACTCATAAGTCCCTAAAATTACCAGCTACTAAGTCCCCCGACCCTCCAAGTAGGGTTTAGAGGCTTGGGTTGAGGGTTGAAGGGTTTCGGGGCATAAGGTTTAAGGGCTTGGGTGAGGGACTCTAACCGAAAGCCGGCGACAAAAACCTCGAATTCCGCCTCGAACCCTTAAATCTGCAATGAAGCCCACCCCACATTCTCAAAGCCTCAAGCACCAACTCTGGCCTACGGATCCCAAACAAAGCTCCAGGAAATCTGGAGTTTGACGAGAGACTCCTCCAACGAAATCCTCGAACGAGGGCATACGGAGAACAAATGCAAACATGTTCGAAGGGTTTTGGCTCAGCGCTTAGGGTTTGGATTTGAGTTTAGGGTGCAGTTTAGGACCCAAAAAACATAATCATACATCAAGCCCTGATTAGTAACTACCAACACAACCATGGAACTCAGAACCCCAAACCCAACTCGGCCACCCAAGACCAGAATCCTGAAATTCAATCATCTTGGGTTCACTTGCTATTCCTTTCACAGTGGACATCGGAGTCAAATGGAAGCCCCCAAGCAAATCAAAATCTACAAAAAAATGCAAGAGCCTTTGATAAAAAGTCGATCCCCAAGCCCTAAAGTGTAAATCTCGCCGTGTTTAGAGTTTAGGGTTCTCATACACAGTTCCTAAACGCCCAGCTCGAAAAGCCTTGGAAGCTCCAAAGAAAGTGGCCGTGGAGCCTGCAAAGCTGCCCCACCGCGCCAGCAGTTGGCCCAAACCCTGCAAGGGATTTAGATGGTTTAGACAGTTCAGGGCTTAGGGGGTTTAGGGTTTAGGGTTTTTTTTTATCGCTCCTTTTGTCCTGCAACTAGGGTTTAGGGTTTAGGGTTCAGGGTTTAGGGGGTTTAGGGTTTAGGGTGTTTGTTCTGTGGGTTTAGGGTTTAGGGGGTTTTCGGGCTAAGGGACTCAGAGAAACGGGGTGTCAGGCTTCAGGGTTTTATGTGGTGAAGCTTGAGGCTCTGAGTGTCTGGTTCGGTTCTGGGGTTCTGGGAGAAACAAGGGTTATTCATAAGGGTCGAGACCTACGGTTGATGATATAAATCCTGCATTACCTTAAGGACCCTAAACTATGGGAATTATGGTATATTCCTTATTATGGGTAATGCAGGATATATATCATCAACCGTAGTAGGCCCTAGACAGTCGGATCCTTGTTTCTTTTGAGGAGCCCTAGAACCAAAATACAAGGACCCGCCGCCACAAAAAGTGGCCACTTCAACTTTTAGAGGACAAGGCCCTGATTGTAATAACCCCTCAAACCGACACCACGGCTTCCCAGAGACTCCAAACATCCCTTAACTAAGGAATATACCTTAAAGTATAGTAGGATCCTTAATGTGCTTTAACGATTACTCCCTAATTTAGGGATATTGGAGTCTCTCTGGGTTTGCTCCCCTAGCAAGGGGTGTAAAACCCAGCGAATCTGCTGCATTTATTCGTACCTGCCTGTTTTCCCTGAGCCCCAAATAAGCTACTTGGAGGTTCATGGGTAGTTATAAGTAGGGTTATAAGCAGGGTAACTATACTTATGACCCACATTAAGGGGCTTATAGCCCTCACTTATAACCACACTAAACCCTAATCCTTAAATCCTAAATCCCCATAGGACTCTTTAAAGGGACCCTTAAAGGAACCCCTACAAAACCCACATATAACTACCCATGAACCTCCAAGTACTTATCAGCTTACAAATGCCACCTTACGTGCGAAGACCCCAGAGGCCCTTGATCCCTAAAGCCGAAACACTAGTAATCCCTGAACCCTAAGCCCTAGAGCAGCGACTTAGGCTTTGGGCTTTAAGCTCTAGAGTTAGGCTTTAGGGCTGAGGGTTTAGGGCTCAGGGTTTAAGGCTTAGGGTTTAGAGTTCAGGGTTAGGGCTTAGGGTTCAGGGTTTAGGGCTTTCGAAACCTGAAGCAGGCCGCCCCCCGCCTCGCTGGGATGGCCTTGGAGAAGGAGTTCACCTGCGCACTCTGGGAGTTTCCGAACATCAAAGGGGAAAAGGAGGGGACCCTTAATTCAGGGGCTCTTAGGGTTCCTTTAAAGGGATCTATAAGGGCTTAGGGTTGTTTTTGTTTTAGGGCTTCGGGTTTAGGGTTTAGGGGAAAAGGAGGGACCCTTAATGGGGACCGCTGCCCTATAATGGACTATATAATGGGTATATAGTAGCTATATTAAGGGTATATACCTAGGGGTCCTTACGGAAGCCTTTAAGGAACAGTTACTGAAGCCTTTTAAGGAACCCTTACGGAAGCCTTTTAAGGAACCCTTACGGAAGCCTTTAAGGAACCCTTGTAGAACCCTTTAAGGAACCCTTTGAGGTGTATAGGAGTTTCCGAAAAATGGGGGGACCCCAATATAGGACCCCAAATAGTCGGATCCTTTTTTAAGGTCTCCAAAATAAGGTACCCCTAATTTTCGGAAACTCCCATATGGAGGCTCAGCAACTGGAGGGAAACCAGTCTGCTAATCATATACTGCATTGTGGCATCTGACAAAATACTGAGGTATAGTGCAGTCGATTATAGTACCAGCTCATTATCGTATGTTTTAGTATGTCACAGTACGTTATAGTACACTATAGACTACAGTATATTACATTATACTCTAAGTGATTATAGTAGGTTGTGGCATTGGGCAGCGGGGCCATGCGAAACCGATCTCAGCAGACACATCGTAAACTTGGCCAGAGGCAGTTTGGAACTGCCACCCCGACGATGCAGCCCAAGCCCGAAACAGCAAGCCTTAAGGTTTTGGGGGTTTAGGGCTGCTTGCAAAAAGGCTTTTGAGGGTTTTGGGTCAAAGGGCTCTTTCAAGGTTCCTCTAAACGGATCTATAGGGGTTTAGGGTTGACGGCCCCTTCTGTTTCATTCACCTGGCATGCTGGGAGCACGCTACACACAAACATTAGCAGCAATTAGCAGCACACCTCCAGGGCAATTGTATATACGGCAAGGCTTTCAGCTTGAACCTTCTTCGAGTTCAAGGCATTAGTCTTCGAGTTCAAGGCTTTAGTCTGAGAGTTCAAGGCTTTAGGGGGTTTAACCTGGAAACCCTCAACCCTAAACCCCAAGCCCCAAAACCCCGAAACCCATTCAGTAGACCCTAAACTCCAGACCCTTATAGAACTCCTTGGTTAACTTTATAAGGAACCTTTAAACCCCCAAACCTCTATGGAACCCATTTTGCAAGCCATAAACCTTGGGCATCTCCGGCAGAGGCAGACAGTCTGGTGCTTAGTAGGGAATGGGTCCCTATATAGTCCCCAATAATAGTGCCCATAATCCATTAAGCCCTCAACCCTCAACCCTACACCCTCAAACCCCAACCTTGGGCATCTCCGGCAGAGGCAGACAGTAGTTCAAACGAAGACAGAGCCGACGGGAGAGCTCCAGCATACCCCTGCCCAGCTCCTCCACCTCAGTGGGGCTGAGGGTTTAGGGGTTTAGGGTTTAGGGGTTTAGGGTTTAGGGTTTAAGGCTGAGGTTTAGGGTTTAGTTTAGGGAATAGGGGTTTAGGATTTAGGACTTAGGCCGAGCTCCTCTACCTCAGGGGCTTCAGCAAGCTTTAGGGTCTTTGCAGTAAAGGGGACAGGGTTTAGGTTTCGTGGGTGTATCAAGTTCAGCTGTGCTTGTTTTATCACTCTTGGTGTTGCTGTTGGTGCGGCTGTCTAAACCCTAAACCCTACCTTATGTCGTTGCCTATATACTGGGCATGGTCACTGCGGCCTTCCTGCGCTTCCTGTGGCTGCTGCTTTGCTCTTGTAGCGATGAAAAGAAAAGTCGAAAAGACGTAAACGGTTCGGGGTTTAGGGTTTATGGTTTAGGGTGATAGCTTCATGCCCTTAACCAGTGCACGAGTACACATATCTTGCGGAGTCGTACATCTCGTTTTTTTCGCGCTGGTGACACAAGTTTGGCCAACTGCTACTTCAAACTACCTTCAACGCTAGACACCAAATTGTACTGCTTGGGCAAACCGGTCCGCTGGCGGACCGTCCTTCCTGCTCAGCTGTTCAATTCACTGGTTCAGTCACTGACTGTGACGAGCACCAATATGTCTTGTCTGGGTCCTTTACTCCTGCAGTGATTTTGAATGTTCCAAGTCTTTCGGTTACTGTAGTCCTGGCAAACTCAGCACGGCTTTGGCTGTGGCATGTGTGCGTACGTCGACATGCTGACTTTGAGAACTGATTTTATGCCGCTTTCATCTAGACAGGATTTCTGCCATTGATGGTGACGGTGATGCCGGTGGTGCATGTGGTCGTTGTGGCCATGGTCACGGACCATCTTATCTTTATTGCAATTCAATAGCCCTTGTGACCCATCGTATCCAGGGGCTGCGGTCCGACAACTTTCAGAACCCGCGGCAAAGCATACCCTTCCACCCCCCAAGCCCTTAAAACCTACTTGGAGGTTCATGGGCAGTTGTAAGTAGGATAACTATACTTGTAATCCATATTAGTGGACTTGTAACCCCACTTATAACTACCCATGAACCTCCAAGAAAACCCCAAAGCCTAAGCCCAAACGAAACCTCCTTGGAACGCAAGCAAACGGCCACTGAGCTTACGGTTCGGGATGGTCAGAAAAACACACCCTAAACCTTACAGCCCTAAGCATTCCTAAGCCTAGGCCCTAAACAACGAAAAGCTCCCAAACTGCAAGCCCTAAACACGTCTACAAACAAGCTGTTGTAAAGGCAAATGCAAAACCTGAATAACCCACCATGTAACCCTAAACCTGAAACCCTGAAGCCCACAGCCCTACACCCATGTCAAACCCTCTAATGAAACACTTGCAACACCCCTATCATACAACCGAAACACTCAAAAAACAAGTGTCACACAAAAACCACCGAAACTGCTTCGGCCTTGATGTGGAAGAAATCCGATGCGTTGAGTGGTGGCTGCGCAGAGGCCAACCACTCCGTCACCGCCCGGGTGTGGAGGAGGTCTTCCTGCTCAAACTCCTGGGACCGCTCCGCTTTAGGGTGGAGAGCTTAGGACTGCAACTCCTGGATGAGTAGGGTTTTATAGGGTGTGTCTGGACTGCTGGGAAAGGTTGCATAACCCTATGCATCGATTCCGCAAGGGCTTGGAAGCGGTCTTATGCAGAAGTGTTTTGTTCCTAAACCCTAAACCCGAAAGGGTCTTCCTTCTCAACCTCCTGAAACCTCTCCGGTTTGTGGGCTTTGGGCTTTTACAAACCGCCGTGCTTAATCTTCTGGGACTGAAGGATGGTGTGTTTCGGGTTCTGTATGGTCTTCAGCCCACACTCCGGGGATTTAGGTGTTGGTGTAGGTTTTAGGGTGTAGGATTAGGGCTTGAGAATTTAAATTGCAAAGCTTCAGGTTGGTACGGCGTTGGCTGTAAAGCTTACTTGTGACACACACACGCACACACACACACACACACCGACTTACTTGGAGGTTCATGGGTAGTTATATAAGTAGGGTTATAAGTAGGGTAACTATACTTATAATCCATATTGGGGGACTTATGACCCTACTTATAACTACCCATGAACCTCCAAGCAGTGGGTCTTGGGTGTACGGCTTCCGGCTACCACTGAAACAGCAGCAATCATGAACTCGCCTACGTGATCCAGCGGCAGCAGGTGTTCGTAGCAGGGCTCTTGCTCAGGAGTTTTATTACCGGCCGACTGCTAAGGTAACGAGGAGGTATATCAGAAGCTACACCTGTGTGCATCTCCCGTAGGCTACAAGCTGACAAGTTCAAACATTGAACCGATGATTCACGCTGGCTTTTTGTTTTTTGTGGTTGATCGGGCCATGATGTTGGATGAACAGTTCCTGGACTTTTCTTGCGACGTTTGCTCTGATCTGGCGAGTCTTCTGAAGCCGTAGCAAGCACCTAAGCCTACGGCGTTACGAAGTCCAGCGCCCTATCCCCGTAAACCCTACTTCTCACCGCACTTACCAATCAGAGTCATCACGTTGGAGGGATAGAAAGAAAATTATATGGATTCCTGCAAGAAGAGTCCAGTTACCCCGTAACACCCACAATCCTTGTGACCCCCTCTAAAGCCCTAAGCGCACCCTCATAAACCCTGCAGGGGTCATGGCGGTTGTTGGGCAGCAGTGCGCCGTGGCTGAATTCGGTGGGCAGGCTTCGATATGCGTCTGTCTGGTTGAAGACCTGGCTCACATACCTTGAGCTGGATTCATGTAGGGCTTCTTTAAGGAAGTGTGGTAGGTTGTCCTAATATGATGTGTAAAACGAGCTCATTCAGGGTCGTCCAAGTCGCACACGTCTGAGGTTTGAGGGAGTTTGCTGGCCTCTCTTGAAGAACTTGAAAAGCTTACGCGACCATGATGAGGTTAACATGCTTGTCTGATTACGGTTTCGCCATTAACTGTCATTTCCGAGAGCCTGTTACTTACTGCTGGCTATTCACTATGTATTAACTGGTGTTGTGGTTAGTTGCTATTCATTCTGTACTTGTGTACTGAGGTAGTTGCTTATGCGTTTGCATGTTCTTGTAATTGTTGCTGAATATCTCTGCGATCGCATCTTTGACTAAGATCTGTGGGGGTTTACAAGCCTAGAGTTAACGGGCTTGGGGCTTCTAGAGGAAAGGGCTCAGGGTTCGGAAGTTCAGAGTTTAAGCTATAACTGTAGTAGTTCGACGACTCTGAAGCTCTTGCAGCCAGTTTTTCCAGAAATAGGGGACCCTAGCATAGTACCCTAAAGAGTACGACCCTGACTATAAGGACCCCAAAATGGGCACCCCTAATTCTCCGAAAAACTCTAGGCCCCATCGCACGTTCGGGGCTGAGTCGTAATGCAGAGGCCTCCTACAACTAGACTCTAGACCAGGGCTGGGGGGGGAAGACTATAGTCCGGAAATTTAAGTATAAGAAGGAACCCCTAAACCCTAAACCCTAAACCCAACTAAAGAAAAACAACTTCAGGCCAGAAACCCTTGTTGCAAGACAGCAAAGGCACCGCACATACGTAGCGAAGTCCTCCCAACGATTGCTTCGCTTGTCCACTGAGCCCAACCTGAGGCCAATGCTAAAATGAAGGGTTGGCATAACCATGTCTACTGCCATGTGAAGTGATCGCTGTCGCGCATCCCTATCGTCTGTTGTGGCCTGAGTTTGGTGGTGGCACCAGTAGTAGTAGTAGTAGTAGTAGTAGTAGTAGTAGTAGTAGTAGTAGTAGTAGTAGTGGTAGTCGTCGTTGTCGTCGTCGTTGTCGCTGTCGCAGTCGTGGTCGGGTCGTGCTCGAAGTCGGAGACGTGGTCATATTCGCAGTCGGATACGTCGTCGCCGTCGTAGCAATGGCAGCAGCTGCAGCACCAGCAGTAGGCAGTAGTAGCAGTTGTAGGAGTAGGAGTAGGTGTAGGAGTAGGCGTAAGAGTGGGAGTAGGAGCGGGAGTAGGAGTAGCAGGAGCAGCAGAAGTAGCAGTGGCAGGAAGAAGAAGTTGTCGTCGTAGGGGATAGCAGTGCTGGGTAACAGCAGTACGACTAGGATGTAAAGCATGTGGCGTGGTGGGAAACAAACCACTGCTCCCCTGATGATAAGTCGACATGCCACTGCTACATTAGGATGTGCTCGCAGTTCGTTAGGGTACTACCCATGTCTGCTTGCAGTATACCAGATGTTCGAACCGTGAGCCCAAACCCCAGTAAACACACCACTGCCAGTGAGGCCCATCGCCAATGCTCACGCGGCTGTGATTCGTCGGAAGCCAGCGAAAATACACTAGACTCTAAACCCTCAAGCTTAGGTACCGCCCCCATACAGTAAGAGTCTATAGTAGGGCTACTACTAAGGTCCTAATATATCTTTATTATGAATATTATTCAACTATTACTGAGTGAAGGCCGTTTCTCAACCTCAAGCCCTTAACCCAGAAGCCCTAAGCCTTTCCGCCCTTCAGCCCTTCAAGCCTTAAATCCGCAGCCCGACCTCAAAAAACCATTCCTTGCTCCTCCCTCAGGCTTCGGCTTCGGGCGTAGAATTCACAGCCTCCATTGGAATTCTAAGCCTAAACCTTAAACCTCGGTTCAGGTTTATACTTTAAGATTCAGAAGTTAAAACACGAACCCTAAAGCCTCAATAGCCTGAAGCCGGAAACCTGAAACAGTGGGCCCTCCGTTTCAGCACCAAACGATAGCTCTCCATACCTGCAAAGTAGACATGCCGGCGAAATCCCAGGTCTGACCCGCGCGCACTGTCATCATAGAAGCCTAAATCAAGTAGAAGCGTGTGGAGTTTGGGGATTGGGGTTTGGGGTGTCGAGTGTAGGGTTTAGCGTGAGCATAATGATCACCCCGCGAGACCATAGAAGCAACGCAAGGACGTGGCCGCACTATCCGGAATCAAAAGCAGAGCAGCAGCCAAACCTTAAACCCTAAACTCTAAACCCGAAACCCTTCGCACAAAGAAGTTTAAGTCTCTAACGCCAGCCCAGCAGCCACCTGAGTCGAAAGAAAGATACGAGCCTCTCGAAGGGATTGCGCACCTGGGCGTTTGTTCTTAGGGTTTAGGGTTTTAGGTTTCGAGTTTAAGTGGAACATGCCCCCTCCTTTCAAAGTATGGCGTCTCTGCCTATGCATGTAGCACAGAGGCTACCCCCACTTTGGTCGCTTCGGATGCTTGGAATTTTTCGGCTGGTTATCAAAGACCGCGTGCCTTCAGCAAGGCACATAACCACCGCAACTGCTGCCAAGTCTTATGCCCGCGAATCCTAAATCTTGTGGGTATGGCTATCTTGCAGTGGGTCGGTGGTGGCAACTACGTATCAAATCGGAAATCCGAAGCAGTAGCGTCGCACCGAAACACTTTACCCCACAAACTCGAAGCCCTAAAACCCAAAACCTAAACCCTGAACCACTGAAACCTCAGAGAGCAGAGAGAGAGAGACAGAGAGAGAGAGAGAGGTTGGTGATCAACGGGCCGTCCGCGGGGCTGAAGGCCCGAGATCGGAGCCACCAGAAACCTTCTTACTACCATTATTCCCTCTCCTGCTGCTACTACTACTGCTGCTGCTGCTGCCACTACTACTACTACTACTACTACTACTACTACTACTACTACTACTACTACTACTACTACTACTACTTCTACTACTACTACTACTACTACTACTACTACTACTACTACGACTACGACTACGACTACGACTACGACTACGACTACGACTACGACTACGACGACGACAACGACTGCGAGTACGAGTGTCCACAGAGTAGGAGTACCATCCTTGCTCACTGGTGTTGTGGTGTCTCTCTTCCATGCCGCTTGTCTGCAGAGGCCGTCATGATGATATTTCCTCAAGGCAGATGCAATACAAATGCGACCTGGTTCCGGCACTGCATTTTGCGCATGCGGTCGCACATGTTCGTCGCGCTCGGTCCCCATTGGGTTGTAGGGTAAGGTTCTTCATGACTTCAAACGCTTGTCCAGTGCTGACCGAATCACCAGCATCACCCGCAGGCGTCCGATGCCGTGCTGGCAGCAGGTCGGGCACAAGTGCTTGGGCAGCCTCACTTCACGAGGTTGGATTTCGGGTGTGGGGAGGCGGGATCGAAGTCTTGCTGAGATTTGAAGCTGGGCCATAAATGACTGTGTACTACAAGTCTGGGACGGTAACTGATACGTTGGCAAAAAACTGCTGTGATGATGGGGAAGGCGACCAGGCCAGTGACGAGGATGGTCACCCGCATCCTTTCGATCATCATAGTCAATACTGTCATCATTATCATTCTGTATAATCATGATAAGCAGCGCAGCAGCAGCAGCAGCAGCACGACCGTCCTCGCTCGTCCGTGTCTACACCCTCATGACCCGCCTCTTCTTGAACAGAACCCACATCAGCATCACAGATCACTCCCCGCCACGCCATGTACCGTGACCAGTGTTGTCATGCCCTCGCTACCCATCCTTATGAGCCATGCCGCCCAGGATCAGAGCAAGTATCCGGAGCAACATTGATCCCATTTTTTGCACAGGGTGCTGACACTACTCCCATGCGTATCCTCCACCTGAAGTCTGCACTATCACTCCTACCAGAACGCACGTGCATCGTGAAACTCATGGGTCCGACACCCACCGTCCATGTCAGTGGCAGAGATTGTCGCTGCTCGTGACATCGCCCCCTTCAACTTTGAGAGCTGCTATCGCTGCTACTGCTCGTGATATGACTCAGTAGGTCCTGCCTCTCTCCGCCACTATTATCAGCGCCGGTGCTATTTCTTGCCGTCCTGCTTATCAGCTTGGAAACCCTGCTCAGATCCTCAAGCCCCTACAACCCCATAATCCTCACACGCAAACTGCAAAGCCTGAAGAAACCTAAACCCCTACAACCCCATAACCAGTAACCTGTAAGGCACCTCTACGAAACGCTTGTGTCAAGGACTCTTTCGGCATCCTGATGCGAAAGGCATGTCAACACAAAACACGAGAACAAAGCCTGGGCTTCAAGTAGAAACTAAAGCGACCCGGAATCACCCCCCAAAATCTTCAAAGGCAATCTTGAAGAACGAAATGCACCCGAAAACTCCTTACAAAGCCCTAAGAAAAAACTCTCCGATGCAGCAGATCCTAAAGCCTAAACCCTGAACCCTAAACTTCGATTCAGCGGAGGAGCATCAAGCGCCTCCCCAAGCTCATCTCCCCGAAGCCGGAGAAGTACCGGGACTCGGGGACCAGGGCCCAGGATCCCTTAACTAAGGAGTACCTAGGGCTGTAGGGTTCCTTTAAGGGATCTATAGGGTTTAGGATTTAGGGGGGGTCTAATGTCCCTTAATTGGGGAATAAGCCTTAAATTATAGTAAAATCCCCTAAGATGGGTTATGGTATATTCCTTAGTTAAGGGATATTGGAGTCTTTGGGCAACAGGGTGGGCGGAGGGGTTTCAAGGTTGGGGGTTTAGGGGCGCAGGGGCTGAGGGGTTTAGGGGTTTAGGGTTTCGGGTTTTGGGTTTAGGGTTGGGTGAGTGGAGCGGCGGCTAGCAGGCACTATACAGGACACTAGAAGGGTGTTTTATCTCGATTGCGGGATTGGGAGTTTCGGGTTCTGGAGGGTTTTAGGTTTTCTTCTTTTACTGTAAGAGCTTATGGTTGAGGCCTGTAAGAGTTTATGGTTGAGGCATGATTAAGCATCAGGCCTGGAAAGGTTCAAACAAGCCAACGGGCTAAACTACTCTCGCACTACCACAGCTGGCTCAAAGCGTTTCGATGACAACCAGATGGGCCGTGCCGTCCGTAAACCCTAAACCCTTACAGAGGGTTGAGGGATGAGGGTTTAAGAAACCAGTGTTGTGCCCAAGCGGCCAGAAAGCGTTCAGTCAAGTTCCGCGCATGCTGTCGGCTGACGCCGACTGCCTCGGTTTGATCTATGAGATTATCGGCTCAAGGTTATTATAGGTTATGGTTGTCCGTGCTTGCACCATGTCTATATACACGCCCCTAATCGTACTAAGCAAACCTCCCGGATCCTAGATCCAACGCTGCACCCAGCGGCTGCGAACTCGGGGTAGAGCCATTGCCGCACAAGCCTGTCGACATTGTCTCCTGCACTCAGCATGGCCCTAAACCCGAAACCCTGGCACTGACTGATGAGTCTCGGGACCCCAGGGGTTTGGGCTGAGGTCCAGCATTTCAGATAGATGGCCTGCCCAAACCTCAGGCTTTTGAGTGCCAGCTGCAGCAAGGAAGAAGGAAGAGCTGCTTCGACAGAAGAGTATCACACTACAGCACACCATATGGGGGAAGGTTGTACCATGTGGTACCTTCACTCTGCTCTAATATGGTTATATTGTACGAACTTGCAATAGATCCTGCTGCCTCGTGCGACATTATACTGGATTCTGCTATGTCCTCAGGACTATATACAACATAGAACTTCAATACACGATCTTATCTCGCGTCTGGGATGTAGCTTTCTTGCGCCATGGCACGTCCCACCCGAAACCCTAGGACCCTAAACCCTACTACAATCCGGGCCACCACAACCCTGAAATCCGAAAACCTTACATCCTGAAACCCAAAACCGCAAAGCGCGAAACACAATTCACACCTCTACTGTACAAGTCCCGTGGGGTTTAGGCAGTTGATCAGTGACAAGAAGAAAACAAAGAAGAAAAATAATGAGCATAGTAATAGTAGTAGAAATAAATGGGCAATAGCAGTGCTGATAATGATAATACTTGTAATGGTACTAATAACAAAAAATCAACAAACAATAGTTGTACTAGTCATGATAGTAATCGCCATATTGTCAATGATACGAATATTGGTACGGTTGATGATATAAATCCTGCATTACTTTAAGGACCCTAGACTATGGGAATTACGGCATATTCCTGATTGTGGGTAATGCAGGATTTATATCATCAACCGTAGTAGTCCCTAAACCCTAAACCCTAAACCCTAAACCCTAAACCCTAAACCCTAAACCCTAAAACCCTAAACCGTCCTAGCCAGTGTTCTGATGAGGAGAGTTGAACCAAAGCCTCGCCCGCTCTTTCCTGCATACGCCCGTGCCATGCTGTCCCAGATGCTGTGGAGGCTGGCTTTGTCCTTGCCCAAAGGGCTCAATTAGGGGTTTAGGGGTTTAGGGGTTTAGGGTTTAGGGTTTAGGGTTTAGGATTTAGGGCTTTCTGGTTCAGGGTTTAGGGGTTTGGGTTTAGAATTTAAGGTTTGGTGGGGGCCATCTGGTAGTTTTCTCTCGGGTAAGTGGGTTTAGGATATGGGTTGAGGGTACATTCTGGGGTTTGGCTTTGGTTTGGGAGATGAATTCAGGGTTTAGGATTACTTTAGGGCTTTTGGAAGCTGCGAACAGCTTGCTTGCAGCTGCTTGTTGGTTTTTGATTCAGGGTACAGGGCGTAGAGTGTAAATGGGTTTGGGGCATTTCTGGGTTCGGGGTCAAGGTATATGGCTGAGAATTCAGGAAAGGAGGGTTTCCCCGGACATCATCAATCTCACAACTGAAACTGCTAGCGCCTCTTCTTCCTGCTGTTCGAAATCACTGGAAAATGCCCAGTCAATCCCAAATTGCCGTGAAGTCTCGACATGCCAGAACCACGTCTTTCGCCCCCTCGACACGACAGACTTGGCACCCTAGAGTTGCACTAAAATCCTCAGAACTCTAAGTCCAAACCCTAAGCCCTAGGCCCTAAAACCTAAAACCCCACGCACTAACCCCAAACCCTAAACCCCACACTCCAAACCCTAAACCCTACACCCCAAACCCGAAAGAGCCCAAAACCTAAACCTCAGAACTAAACCCCAAACCCAGGACCCCAACCCCCGCACACCCGCAGATCCGAACCCGAAACCCCAAAGCAACGCCTCCGCGGCGGGCTCGAAGGGCTCAGGGAACCAAACCCGGTCTCCCGGGTCCAAGGAGTGGAAAACGAAATGCTCCGATGAGTTCCTGGCTTAAGAAAAATAGGCCGGTTCAAGGTTTAGGCTTTAGTTTAGGGTTTGGGGTTTAGGGCTTAGGGTTTAGGATTCAGAAGTTAGAACTTAGAATTTAGGGTTTGGGGTTTAGGGTTTAGGATTTAGAATTTAGAACTTAGTATTTAGGGTTTAGGGTTCAGGGCTTAGGGTTTAGGATTTAGAATTTAGAACTTAGTATTTAGGGTTTAAGGTTTGGGGCTTCGGGTTTAGGATTTAGCATTTAGAACTTAGTATTTAGGGTTTAAGGTTTGGGGCTTCGAGTTTAGGGTTCAGTTTATTTAGGGTTCAGTTTAGGGTCTCGGGTTTAGGGCTTTGTGCTTTGGGTTTCGAGTTCAGGCTAAGGGACATAGCTTCGCGCTACAACTCTGGGACTTCAGCCTTGGAGATCAGGGTTCAGGCTTTGAAGCCTGGGTTGATTCGCTTGATGATATAAATCTTGGATTACCTTCAAGACCCTAAACTTTGAGAATATTGGTATATTACGGTATGTATATATGTATATATTTACATATGCATACAGATATATATATATATATAGATACAGATATATATATATATATATATATATATATATATATATATATATATATATATATATATATATATATATATATATATATATATATATATATATATATACATATACATATACATATACATATACATATACATATATATATATATATATATATATCATGGACATACAGGATTTCTACCATCAGCCGTTAGGAATGCAGGGCTTCTGGGATACTCGACGCGGCTGCGGGGCCCGTATACTCAGGGCATCCGGGCAAGAAGGATCCAAGTGAGGATCCCGCTTTCTATCTACCCAGGGTTTAGGGTTCAGGGCGTAGGGTTTTAGGCTTTAGGGTTTCGGGAAGGTGAGGGTTTGCGGGTTCGGCATCTAGTACAGCCTGATGATATGGAACAGGGTTTTGGGGTTATTATACTGTAGCTCTCAGAGGTCAGGGTTCAAGCTGCGAACAAAGTTTGTGGAAACCTGTCTGCGACGGGAATCGCATTGCTGGTCTCAAACACACGGAACACGACTGACCCCCGAACACGAGCTGAATACTGATCCTATACTAAACCCCATATCCTTATAGAACCCCTATAGATCCCTTTAAAGGGAGCCCTAAAGGACCCTTATACCTGATCCTAGCCAGTCTAACTCCGAAACCCTATCAAGTTGATACCCACCCGAAGCGCCTGAGCCTAAACCCCCACACCCACAGCACCCCCGAAACCCCACAGAAAATGGAATCCTAAAAGTTCTAGACTTAGACTGCACACCCCCAAAAGCCCCATTCATTGAACCTGAACCCTCTAGAAACTCCAGAACCCCTTACTTCTAGAACGCCCCTCCAGTTAAATTCAGGGGTTTTGGGGTCTCTGGGCCCCTGCTGCCGTGCCTGCGCCTCGGCCTTCCGTCAAGCTGTGCGAGCCAGATCAGCGTAGACAGAGAAGCCACGCGATCCTTAGGGTTTAGGGTTTAGGGTTTAGGGTTAGGACCATCTAAGGCATAGAACCCGGAAAGCAAAGAACCCGAAAAAAACGCGCATCGCACAACTATGTGGCCAGGGCTCACGGCTGAGGCTTAGGGAACCAGAGTTTCGGTCATAGGTCTGCAACGGTGACAGCAACAAAACAGAAAAGTTCAGAACATGAACCAGACTACGACTAACACTAGCAGAAGCAGCAACTGAAAAAGCCCGCCTACAAACGCCATTTATACAGTCACTTGCGGCGTTTCTGGGCTTAGATGTTCTCAGCTTTGAGGGTCTCTATCAACCAGCATTCCTTCTTGACGATTCTGTTCTCTAAACCTCTGACGTTTTATCCGACATGCAAAAAAACTGTTGTTTTGCACCGGGTTTGGACAGTAGCCTCCCACGTATGGAGATGTGTCGAGCATGCGCGACGTGTGTGACGGTTGCTTCAAACGTGTAGAACTGTGTCGCTTCGCATCATGTTTGGACGTGCAACGCGTCCGAGGTCCATTACAGCTGCCTCCAGTTCAACAAAGCTTGTCGCTTCACCCTAGGTGCGTGACGATTGTCCGAAGTGCAGAAATGACTCGTTTCCGGTGTTTTGCTTGACATCGAGGGCGTGCAAGGTGTAAGTCGCAGACTCTTTGAAAGTGCAAAATCAAGGAGTCATCTGATCTACCAAACTTGTTCCAAGAAACAGGCAGAACCAAACCCAAACCCCGAACCCTTACCCCACAAAATGATCCCTCCCCCCGGAAGCTGGGTGCATGCCAGCCTGTTCCGAAACCCCAAACCCCTGTCCAGGCTTGCTGACGCCAAGAAGCCACCACGAAGAAGGCCACGGGGACCCAGAGAGGACAGTTCAAATAAGGCTTGCCTGGCAGCTCTCGAAAGAATATATACAATATATACAATATACATATATATATATACACATATAGAGTATATATATATACACAGCATATACATACGTCTGTATATTTATAGATATATATGTATGTATATGTATGTATACGCATCGAGCAAAGTGGATCTTGTCCGTTTCGGGGAGAAGGGTCTAGGCTTATTGGCAGTTTACTCTGGGGCTGTGGAAAAAGGGAGGACTTGCAGTTAGGTTTAGGGGTTGAGGGTTTAGGGTTCAGGGTTAAGGGTGTCTTGTGGATTCCCGTCTAAACACTGAACACTAAACCGATCCCCTGATTCAGGATGCGCAGCTCTCGGGGGTTTTGGCCTTTCGAGATTGCTGCTCTGCTCATACGGCACAGGGCAATACGTTGACTACTGAGGGTTACGATACGGTTTGCTACCAAGGTTGGGGGGGTGCAGGCATCACAGTTTGGGGTGTTGGGTTAGATGGTGCGGGGTTAGGGTGTAGGGTAAAGGGCTCAGGACGAATTCATAAAGAACCGGCGTTTCTACTCATCTTGCTAATGCTCAGTTGATGACGCATACTAAATCCACAACCTGCAATCTGAACATTACACACACTATACCCTAAATCCAAATCCTAACAATCTACACACCAAACAGCAACCCCCGATCGCAATGATGAGCACCTGACAAAAACCCAATGTATTATCCGTGCTCCTATAGAACCCATCCCTAAACCCTAAACCCGCAAACCCAACCCTACACCCTCTACCCGAAACTCTGAACCCTCAACCCTAAACCCGAAACCCTAAAGCCTCCGCTTCATGCAACCTAGCCACAGCTTGATCCCAGAAGTAGCCACCGCACGTCCTCGTCGGATTGAAACGCCCACTCGCAATGACAGGGTTTAATAAGTAGCAATTCCGGGGCCTAATCAATCAAAATGGGCTTCTTCAAGGAATTACCACAAGCGATACTACAAGGGTCTAGTTTAAGGACAAGGGTTTTTGGTTTCTAGCAAATGTGAACAATTAGAGTAGGGGTTAGGGTTCCTTTAATTTAAGGGTTATTGTAAGGGTTCTGTTCAGAGTCTAGTACAGGAGCCTTCATGAAGAGAATAGGGATTTGGGTGCGGGCATTTGGTGATATTTGTACTTGTACTATAACTATGGTAAGGGATCCTGAGCAACAGTAGCAATAACTGTTCCGAGCCCCCTGTTACCTGGATAGCCCAAAACCCTTTGCTGAGGGCTCTGCCTCAGACTTACGCACGCAGAGCCCATAGTCCCCTAAGCCCTAACCCTGGACATTGAACGTCCTAAACCCCAACATCCAAATCAAGAACCCTAATCCCTACATCGAGGGCCTCTGAAGCTTTTTCGGGCTTACGGTTTCGGGGAAGGCGGACCCCATTGAAATCTACAGACTCCCACACGAACTACGGATTGCCTGAAAAGCCAATACCCTGCAACAAAGCAAAATCAAAGCCTCAACAGCCAACAACCCAAAAGCCCCAAGCCCCAAGCCCGTTGAGTTTCACCGAAGCACTAGCCCTAAACTTGACCCTACCCCCAAACCCTCAACCTCAAATCCCCTGAACCCTAGACCCTACTAGGAACCCGGGCTCCTCAACACGAAAGAGCAATTTTTTAAAGCCCACAGCCCTGAAACCCGGAACCAGGCCAAACCCGACATGTTCAACCCAAATGAGCCAAAGAAGCAAACCCCTCGAGCTCAATAGCTGCAGTTTGCATAGGGGTGTGAGATATATTGTAGCATCAGAACATTGATGAGCCGCAAGGAATAGAAGGGCTGGTTATTCGGACCTCCCTAACAAGCCCCAAACCCCGGAGCAAAGCCCACAAACCCCCTAAAAGACACACTTCGACATCACAGATCCTAAAAGCCTCACCCCCCTTGAAGCGTTATAAGCCTTATCAGTTGGAGGCCTCAAAAGGTGGGATGAAGGTCGGTAGGATTAAGCATCCCTTGTAAGAGAACTCTTCTTTTGGGATTACCCCGCCTACCTTCAATAGGGTTTAGGGTTTAGGGCTTAGGGTTTAGGGTTTAGATTCATCCCAGCCCAAGAGCCCGAATCAAGTCCCGGTGTCTGGGGCATGCCGGCAGAGCCCCATCTCTTCCAGGGCACGACTCCTGAGACTTTGCTTAGGGTTTTGGCAAGTATGCGGTATATGGTCTAATGTTTAGACGGTTGAAGAAAAATACGATGTAGAGTCTTTTGGGGCTTTAGTGTGTTTCTATCAAGGGCTTTTTTGGGACGGCTGAAACGGTTTAGAGCCTAGGACTCCGAATGCGGTGGTTTAGTAATATGAAGTTTTTTGCTGTAGTCTATGGCTTGTTCGGAGGATATCTTGGTTTTCATAAAGGTTGTATGAGGGGTGTAGCAATGGGCGCAATGGCTGTCACACCCTTCCTCGCAAGACGCTCACAGCTGGCGACCGAGACGCCGCATCTCCATCGTGCAACTTCCGCCTGCGTTCCAAGGTTACGGTGTCCCTACACCGTAAACCTAAACCATAAACCCCTAAACCATAAACCCCTAAACCATACACCCCTGAACCGAGAGGGCCTTACTTACGGCTCAGAGCTGAGAGTGCAGGGCCTCGCGGCAGAAGCAACGCGAAAGTCGAATTTCGCACACCCTGCCGAAACCCGAAAACTCGGACCTTAAACCTCATAAGAAAAAAAGGAAAGTGAAACCCTAAACCCTGATGCCACAAGAAAGGCTTCGGTAAGTGCTTCTGGGTCTGTCGAGGAATACTGGTGAGTTTATGCTTCGGGTTTTTGGGTGGGTTGGATTGGTACATACATACCTACATACATACATACATACATACATACATATATGCTCATACACATTACCCTGTGTATATATATATATATATATAAATAAATATAAATATATATATATATATATATATATGAATCTAATGGTATGTATTTCTAATCCATTGAGCCGGCTACTGCTGCAAAACGAAGGCAAACCCTTTGCGGCACCGATTGCAAAAGCACAAAAAAAAAACAACTCCAAACCCCACACCCGAAGCCCAAAGCCCTGAGACCCCACAGCTTTGTCCATCAACCATACTGCGTCGTGACGTTTCTTTTTCTCTGACACGCTGGAGCAGGTGCCTCAACAGGAAACTGCACTCGCTGGGTTGAAGACAGAGAATGCGTCGCAAACCTAAAGTTCGAACCCGAGATCCTGCGAAGCTTTGCGAAAGATGCGCACCTTTGCTGTAAGAATCCAGGGCAGTGTATCCATACTCCAGCCTGATGCAAGAGCATTCAGGATTCTAGCTTTCGGGTTTAGCAGCCATGGGTCTAGGGGTTTAGGGACATTTCCAGGGAGATCAACACTACTTGGTGGCACCGCGCTGGTGCTGCTGCTGGTAGGGTGTGCTGGATGGGTATAGCTGGGTGCTTGGGTGGTGTTGGTGCTGCTGCTCCCTGCTGGTACAGGAAATGGTCGCGGTAGAGATAGCAGCAGCACAAGCAGCCGTAGCCGTAGCAGAATGCTTGTAATAAGAGAAATAGTCAAGAACAGCAGAAGCATCAGAAGCAGTTGCTGCAGCATTCGTGATCGTCCCTTGCCGTCCCTCCGTCGTGTTTGCCACATCCCTCCAAACCAAAGCTGCTGAGTGACGGGATGTGCGTCTGAAACCAGGGTGAAGGCTGCCTTCGACAAGCAGATCGTCAATGGGCTTCAGGTATGGTGTTCCAGCTGAGGGTCTCCGATCAGGGATCTCAGGCCTCTGCATGGCGGCTACAGAACTTGCGGCTTTTCTGTATAACATGACATGTGGATATCGACCGCCAGAAACATGTCAGTGTGAGTGTGTGTGAGAGACAGAATGTGGTTTTGGGCTTTCGGCGTGCATTCACGCCTTTGCCTGATGTGACTTCATCTAAGGCTATCCGCATCGAGAGCTTCAAGACTCAGTAACTCTTCGAGTCGATCCTGGTACCGTCGTCCTTGGACACTCCCACATCCAACGCAACCCTCCAAAAGGCCCCTGACATGAGGATCTGTAACCTCCTAATCGCGCTGCCTCCATCCATAACTAGTCAGACTTGTGTCGAGATAGTCAGACTTGTAGCTTGCCTGGTTTAGGAATATGGTCAGATGGCCCATAGTTGGAAACAAAATCCTTTGTTTTTGTGGGCCATGTGCAATCTCTCTCAAGTTGTTACTCAGAAGTTGATTCCATCATATCACGTAACCAGTGCCGATCCCGTTCCAGAAGTTTGTCGCTCAGCTTTAACATGGCAGGCGAGCAGAAGGTTCAAGTACATGCTCCAATCAACTCCGGCTGTATAATTTGTTGAAAGCTCTCACACACACACAGGTATGGTCGCATGGTGTCTTTTCGGCGTGTTTTAGCCCGAGTCTGGAGTCCTTATTGTTTGGCGTTCAGGACTTGCTGCTGCAAGGCCAGCCTAGCTAAGGAGCATCACCGACTTCTTCACGAAGCATTCGAAACCTATCTCACAACCCGTAACCGTCAACCACAAACCTGTGGATCTTCAAGCTGGTGCAACAAAGGATCACCCGGACCAGCTACAAGAAAGTATCCCGTGTCGTCACTAGCATAGTTGCAGCACCCCAGACCCCATAACCCTATCCTAATCATTAAGGCCCCTGCTCGTCTCCTTCGAGGGCCGTCACGCCGTTTGTTGCGGCCTGCTCAGGCTCGAGCTCGAGATTTTGTAAAGGCGTCTATGAGGGATTGGGTTCAAGGCTGAGGCTGATTATGAGGATTACTTAGGTACGGCCCCCATACACTAAGAGTCTATAATAGGGCTACTATTAAGGTCCTACTATATCTATGTTATGAATAGTATTCAACTATTACTGAGTGGGGGCCGTACCCAAAGGATTGCAAGACGGGTTCCTGGCCAGGCTATGTTGGGCTGCTTTGTTCTAGGGTTTTTTCGTTCGGGTTTGAGGCTGAGGGTTTTGGAGTTAGGGTGTCGAGGGTTCGAAGGGCGAGGGTCTAGGGCTTGGGGATGTACTGCCATGTTGAACAGGGCTTTCCGGTATCTTGTACGTACGATACGGCTAAAATTTCTGAGAACCCTACTAAACTTGATTGGCAACCAACTGCTCTGTTCCCTCTATTCGGATTCAGCTTAAGGCATGGGCCATTGAAAATCTTTCGGGTTAAGTCCTCGGATCTGCCTGCGCCCACCATCTCCCACGACACTGCGTCGAGAAACCGTTGAAAAATCGGCTGACACCCTTAACCCTAAACCCTAAATCCCAAGTCTCTAAACCTTACCTGTAGCCGATAAGACCGACCTTTGTAAGGAACTATATCTCGAAACCATAAGAAGGAGCCCTAAAAGGTAGGTCTTTTCGGCTACAGGTAAACCCTGAACGAAGCCTAAACCCTACAGTGGAGATCCAGAACTCACAGCCCCGGCTAGTGCTTGTTTTGCCCCCTCCCCCCTCCCTCCAGAGACTCCAACATCCCTTAATTCGGTAATATACCTTAAATCGCACTAAGGATCCTATTATAATTTAAGGTACATTCCTTAATTCAGTGATATTGGAGTCTCCGGGTACTCCGCTGCGCCAGCACAGCAAGGGTTCCCAAAAAGCGGTCTGAAAATCGGGCGAAACAATTCTACCGTGGTATAGCACTGGTTTGAGGCTTTGAATGGTGTGCATCTCTATCGGTAAACGGTAGCCGTAAATATTACAGCCCTAAAGCTCTCCAAACCTAAATCCTGAGTCCTAAACCTACACCCCCGGAAGCCCTACAACCATCTGCAGCCCTTAGATTTAGACCCACCAACCCCACGACCCTAAGCTCCAAAAACCCACAACCCTCCGAAGCCCATTCTAGGAGCCCTGACCCTAAAGCCTAAACTAGGTGTCGATTTCAACAGTCCCCAAAATGACAAACAATGAGGCGTTTTTTGAACAATAAGGAGAAGTAAAGATCATCACAAACCGATACCTAGCAAACCGCAACAGACCATTAACCTGCACCCTAGACCCTAAGCCCTAAACCCTAAACCCTAAGCCCTAAACCCTAAGCCTAAACCGAGCGGACAACTGATCGCCTGGTGGACCAGGGGTCCGGCGGGTCCCAACAGGCTTAGCAGGCCCTCTGGTGGCCAGCCTTTCTGCTCGGTTTAGGGCTTCGGGTTTTGCGGCTTAGGCTTTAGGGTTTTGGGGTTTAGGGTTAAGGGTTTAGGGTTTAGGGTTAGGGTTTAGGGTCTAGGGTCTAGGGTGCAGGTTGTTTTTGTTGAGGGCTCCTTCTCTCACTGCGGTTGCGAGCAAGAAGTTTCGCGTTTTGGGTTTCGTTTTAGTTTTGAAGAAGAGTAGCAAGGATTTTGTGAATTTTCTAAACGTGCAAACCTTTCAGAAAGGACTGTTGTGGCGCGTATAGACAAGCAGTTTTTACAGGTTCAAGAGTAGTAATAGCAGCCTTTCAAACCTTTAGACAGGATGTATAGGTCCTGCGGCTGAGGGGCTTAGGAGTTGGGGTTAAGGAGCTTCGAGGCTTTCGATTCAGGGCTAGCTGGAATTTTCGGGTGTGTACTTTTGCTACGACTTTCTGCAAAGGGCCGCAGGATCGCAAGGCCTAAGTCCCAAGATTTATCCAGGGCACCCACTACATTTTGTAGGGGTTACAGCTCAAGTGGGCAGTTCTCTAAATTAGGGTCCGATTTGGGATCCTTGATATGAGGGTGCCGTGTTGGGGTTTAGCCTTGGCCTTCCATTTTGGTTACTGAAGTTGAGTATGGTTAAATGCTTCAGGTTTCAGGGCTCGGGGTTTGGGAATTGGGGGTCGTCCGCGATCGCGAAAATGAACGAGAATGACGGTCATGGACGTGACAGTAACAACAGCAACACAAACAGAACTAGTTGTACTGACGACTCAAGTCCAAATCAAACAGTCTGCAAAACAACAGACGAGATCTTGTGCGTTTGCAATGTGGCTTCAGATAAACCCTAGACCTAATTAAACCCTGAACCCTTACGCCCTGAACCCGAAAGCCCACCTAAAGTTTAAGAAGTTGGAGCTCCATGCAAGCCTCCAGCAGAAGGATGATGCATCCATCGGTGTCTGACCTGTCGGGTTAGGGCCTAGGGTCAAAGGCTTGCTTTAAAGGACTAGGGGTAGGGTTTTGGGTGTTGGGCTTAGGGTTTAGGGTTCGGTTGAAAACAAGAATCTGCCACTGCCGTGCAGTCGGGGCCCGAGCCCTTTAATAAGCAAAAGCTTAAAACAAACTTTCAGCAGATCTGCCTGGCGAGATATCTTGGTGACAAGTTCTCAACACATGCTGCATTTGGCTGCTTGCCACATCAACTGGGAGAACCATGGCGATGCACAGCCAGAACTGTAGACCGTCAAGAAGGGCAGGCTGCAATAGAGTTAAGCTATGTCTTTTGCCGGGAATTGCATACCCTACTTAGTGCACTTGTACCTTTGACACATGTGC